TAGTTCGCCATTCATGTACGTATGCCTCCACGTCGTGGAGTATACTTTGACAGGTTCTTGAACACATGGATGGCAGCAAGAACAGTTGATAGCAGAGGTGAAAGATCTTGATTGCTAAGGGCCCCCACTCCAATGTTCCTCAGCGACATCCAATACACCTACCTATCTAGGTATCTACCTAGGTATGTACTGAAGTTTGGTAGCGGCTATGACAATTGGCTGCCAGGAAGTCAGCCTTACATACAGCGCATTAAGCCCATACCGTCGTAATTAGAAAGCTTGGTGCACACCGGAGTGCTTCCCGGGGCGTCAGAAGGATGCCAAGAGGCAATGGTGCTGACAGGTGCTGGCGCTTTGGCCCCAACCGGGAACTTTGACCCCTGGACTCTACCCGGTTTCTGGGAGTTTTGAAATCACCGTTCCCGGAAGGGTTCAGTCAACCTTGACAAAATGCTTCATGTTAGACGGCTAGACGGCATTTGTTCCGTATCACCTCACATCCTCGAACCAGTCATTCTGCTTTTCGGCCCAAGCAAAGCACAACCTCATGCTTTCGTGGGTCATGTGGTTCAAGGTACGCAAAAAGCAGTGGACTGAATGATGCTGGGGTCGGAGTTTCACCCCTCAAAATAGAGCTAGCAACGGCTAGCGGAAAGCATGAGTGCCTCCCACGGCAGAATTAGTTCGACTATTGCAGTGATATCTGTTGCTTGTACGTAACCATGCACGCTGTGGATAAACAAACTGAGACTGGTAAGTAAGTCAGCACAAGCTGACATGCCGAACCACGCTTCGGAAAACAACCGGAACTCTTTCAAAGATACTGAGCCAACAAGCCCAAAAGGATGGTCAGTAGGCCTTGAATGGATAGCCAAGAGGCCTGGTTTCTATTTCAAAAGGTGTGAGTTGACAGTCACCACATGTTTTACTAGCTGGCAATAGCAGTTATTTTGTCCAGGGCGTGCCGTGGGACGGAACATGGAAAAGGATCCTCTACCTAGTCAGAGGCAAATGCGAGGTACGCCGGGAGAAACACCATAACAAGGTTAGCAGCGGAGGGCATGACTAGATTGAGGACTTGGTGTGAACGTATACCGCCATGGAGTCAAAGTCCGGCGCTGAGTTTCATCTTTCCATTTTTTACGTATACCTCGAAGACTTGACCGATTCGGTCCAACAAGACAATAGCATTTGGACCGCTTGAATGCCCGGTTGTGGATATTACAAGGCTGATCTTATCACATCAAGGGCAAACATAATCGGCATTGCACACCGAAAGTCCTGAAGGATGATTCCTAGGCACCTGGGTATTTTTTGACGGGTTGGCGAATAAAGATATTGCAGGCTATCAACGGATTGCAATGTTGTCTAGCCGCAAAAAAGCTCCGTGTTTTGACTACAACACTGGGTCGTTGTTCCCCTTGATCTTCCCATGACAATCTTTATGAGATGCCGTAGTTCGTGACGTCGATACGCGACCTTGATTCCTCCCTGGGCAGTTTGTCCGGTGTGTCCATCGAGACCCATGTCCGGAATACTGTGTATCAAGATGCCTTGTTGAAAAATAAGTATTTGAATGGCTGAATCGGATACCCAGAATAGCTCTCCAGATACTCCTCTCCCTGAACCTGTTGATCACTGCTCTGTCTCCTCCTGCACTTCCTCCCTCTCAGCCACGTTCTGCAATCTCTGAGATCCTTCCATATAACCAGTTCGCAGACCATCTTGTGCCCGTCGGGAGGCACCTCGGCATTGAACCAGCAGTTAGAGCCACAAGAAGCACATGTGTCGATGGTGTGCGGAAACGGCTTCTTTCCATCCGGTGGGCTGATGAAAAGGGTTGCAATCTTTCTCTTCATCCCAGAAACACGGGCAGCTCATTTCAGCGGGACTTTCGATTTCAAAAACATTCCAGATGGTCGCTTTGGAGGTGCACTGCAGAACAGCAAGAGCACCTTCCTGTGTCGCCGTTAAATTCGCCCTCAAGTTGTCGCAAGAGGTCGATGCTAGCGCGTTTCAAGCCGTGAGCCGCTGTCACAACGACCGGGGAGACGTATGTGCTTTGCTTCGTTAAGAGGCGTGATTCTTCTGACCCGGTTTCTGGGTCAGTGACTCTCCCGACGCGAAAGGCGCATTTGGTGTCGAACTTCCACTCGAAAGATCTATTGGGGCACGATGATATTCGGTTGAACTGGCAATCAAGGTCGTTGGCTGCGACCACAGGAGGTCTAATGGCGAGATTGTGGGAGCGCATCACTGCGCTCGCCAAGTTGAAGGGGATAGTGACGACACATCGGAGCTTGATGATGCTGGGAGCTAACCGAGGCTGATTTGGGAGCTCTGCGCTTCCTCTTGTCCACCCTGGCTTGAAAATGTCTTTTCCGCAGGCTCGCAATGCATGGGCCGTGGGTGAGATTGACGAATGGAATTTGACGCATGTGGGCCATAGAATGTCGTCTGGGTAGATGCCCTGTTTCTCAACAAGGGCTAACAGGTTGTAGAGGTCCTTTCCTGAGAGGCGGAGGCAGTGGGGGCTGATTTCGGCCAGCATCGTGCGGCTGGTTAAGGCAAGCGCGGCCCTTGCGTACGACTCAAGCGACTTGTTGATCTGGAGCAGGAGTTCTGGGGGTAGCTTCTCGATGCGATTGAGGGTGTGCGTAGTCGTCGGCTCTGGCGAGATGCTCTCCCTGACACGGTGACTTGTGATCATTGCGGCTGGAAGGGTTTTAGACCTTACGCCTCTTGGTGGGCGGTCCACCCATAGTTTTTATTTGGATGGTGTAGGATATATATGATGAGGAAAATAGGCAAGACTTGAAGAAGTCCCAGATGTGAAACTTATGAGCTCTGCATGGAATGGTTGGCCGGTAACGAGATGAAAAGTCGGTAGAAACGTTGAGAAAAACGTCGAGGAAAACTTGAAGGTGGAGGAGAAGGACGAAAAAAAGGTCAGGAAAACCTAGATCGAAGAAAAGGACGTAAAAGCTTGAGGAAAGGGTTGCAGAAAAGGTTGCGAGAGGGCGATGAAAAGAAAAGAAAAGGTGAAAAGGTGGGTGAAGGGTCCGACAGCAAACTTGACCTGCTGCCAACGCTATCATTTATAAATAAATCAAATTACAGCAAGTGAATAGGGCCTACTCCAGTTGGTTTATAGGCCCCATCCTTTTCACATCCTGTCAATAATAGCAGTGGTCTGTGTATCCTGAGCCACAGCCTGAGCCACAGCCTGAGCTTGCTCTCGAGGCGACGCTCCTGTAGCAATGACGGCTCTTCCTTCATTTTCATCGCAATGGCCACCAGACGACTGAGATCTTAATGTGGCACTGATCTTCCGCTCGACACCCATTTACTTCTTCTTTTCCATGAGTTTCATTCATTTTTATTTTTTTTCGTTCCACAAGCTCTCCCTCAGTTCTGGCGCTCAACATCCATTTCAAATTCAAGGAACAGTCTTAGGTACTCACCACACTGGTCGGCTGGGACTAGCACATTTATCCAGTATCTCCGACTTCCTCTTGCGACTTTCATCTCTAAGGAGGAAAATGATGACCATCATGACGCCCAACAGAAAGTTCGGACTCATCAAGCTGCTTTAGGAAATCAAAAACTGGAAGGAAAATTTGCCATCGACGTCTGTATGCGTTTACGACAGGCTGCACGGCATGGTGAGCTCTCCTTCCCCACTGCAGCTCGCGGTTGCAGCTGGGAATCTTGAGATGGTCAAAGATATCACGGAACTCTACCTTGAGGCTGCCTCAACGAACATCGAGCTCCCATCTTTAGGATCCGAAGTGAGGTACAACTCATTGGCAACCGTCCAGATAGACCCGCTAGGAATTGCCGCTCATCTAGGCTATCTATGACGAAATCTCCAGGTTTTGCTGGACAAAGGGGTGTACGACAACGAGGCATAGAGGACCTATCAGCACTCAAATCTTTCTCATTTATTCGCGCGCAAGATCTTATGAAGCAATGAGCCAAAGTTCTTCAGCAGCCTTTCGATCGCCGCATCATTAGAACCCCCGACCCAGTATTTTACTCAGCAGAAGGTGGACTCACACCTAAGCCTCGAAGGTTACGCCCCTCCAGCAGGCTGCCCTCGACATCACACATACCGATCTCGCCAAGGTTCTCATCCGCGCGGGTGCACCCTGGGCTCCTTGGACAGACGATCCCTCTGTGCCCTTTCACCAGAACTCCAAGGAGCAACTTTCACTGTCGCCCTGTCAGACTGCGGTTGAAGTAGACCCATCAACCTCTCTCAAGTTGTCTCCCCTTGAAATCGTTTTATCACACCCCAAGGACGATGAATTTCTCGAAAATCAATGGGACCTCTTCTTGACAATGATGGAAGAGGGAGGCGTGGAATCACCCAACAGGGGCACTTCCCCTGAGGACTATTCGAGCTAGATTTCAGCAGACTCTCAACCTGGTCAGCAGCGGAATACTTTACCCCGAAACTCCCGCTAGCTTGGCTCGCCAAATGATGGTGAGGAAGATGGTCAAATATCTTCGTTGCAAAGGCAAATCGGGAGTTGGAAGGTGAGTGTCGATGTCTTTTCTGAATGAAGCCTCTCGCCTATTGCCAGATGGCTCCTCTTTTTCCATGGCACCAGACCGATCAGGCTGATCTTGAACGTGATGTTGACGCAGTTATAATTCTTTGCTGAGTCGTGCTAACATAGCGAGTAGGGAATGAACTGGAGGGGGCTGACATATGTTGACATTGTCTGAACACGGGGTGCGTTCATCCAATCAAAGTCGACTCTACTCCAATGCGAGGCCCCTATTTGACCCAACAAAAAAGCAGCAATTCTGTCCGAGGAAAAATAGAATAATGACCACAGCGGAATTGGAAGTGAGCCTAATGTGATGGCGATGGCTGCTGGGCACGTTCTGGAGAAAGTTTGGAACCTTGATGCTAGTGGTTCAGCCCATCACTCTGTCCGTCGCCACGCGCCAATGGCCTGGCCAGGTTCCGGACAGTCGCCTCCGGGAAGATGCCGGTAGTGCTTGTTACACTGGCAGGGTTGATCTCCCGGCTTTGTGACCTTATACCCGTGAATTTTGCAACGCCTTCTTTGCCACCGTGGTCTACACAAAAGAGCTGTCACGATATCCAGCCAAAAAGTACGATTTACGGGGGCCGTTTGGGGATACATAACTTATCGAGCACATCGCACATACGCTCCAAAACATTCTGCCACCAGGTCGTGGAAACCGCCCTCAACATTCCAATGGCGTCGGCATTTGAACTCGACGGGCCAGTATTCCATACAGCACCCACCCACGAGCTTCCAATTCGTGCATCAAGTCTTCTAGAAGAAGAAACTGGGGCGGACCGACGAGCCCATGGCCATAATCTCCATACTCATAGCCCTATGAGCACAAGCAGACTGTCTGACGACTCCTCAGCGCTATCCATCGCCACGGAAATGTCCCATGATCAATCCTTTTCATATGGTATGGAAAAGGGGTTCTGGAGGGTAAGTCCATCCTGAGCAGCTGTTTCCAGGTCTTCTTATTGATATGTAGCATAGGTTCGTCAAGGAGCACAAGAACTGCTTCGCTTCGCTGAATTATACAGCCAACACCGAGCTTCCCAGATGACACCAGCCGACGATTCGTTCGTCCTCCATGCGCTGCCGAAACAGATTGACCTCGTGTCGATGACCCAACTATCATGGGGTTTGCTCCATGCTGTTAGCGACATCAACGTCCACAGCCGCAAGGCAACCGAAACCCTTGAATGGATGCACGAAGACGACAAGCCGTCAAATGCGAAGAGGCGGAAGCGGTCAAGGAGGCAAGATGTAAGTGTCGCCAGTCCCTCTACCTTGTGGATTCAGGATGAAGTGCTGACTCGAGGAAACCGACAGAGCGACATCAGCAGCACGGCAGCTTGCAAAAAGTGTGGTGTGATGGATAGCCCTCGATGGCGAGTAGGGCCTGCTGGGCCAGCAACGCTTTGCAATGTGTGCGGGCTGCTGTATGCAAAGCGCAGCCGGAGGCATGGGTCTGGTTCTGAATCCCAGTCGGCAGCTCGATGACATTTGCATGATATTTGAATGCGCGCTGTTTCAGAATCGCTGACACCACCATCTCGAACGTCTAGCAAAACGGTTCGGCGGGCAGTGATGGGTTAAAAAAGATAAGAGGAAGGATGTGTCGTCTGGGTGCAAGGCCATTCTCGGCCAAGCCTCTCTCTAGCGCCGCACTTTTAGGGGCGGAGATCGGGGCATGGATTGTGTCCGGATATCCTGCCGCCAGTGATCGTTCACAAAAACCAGGCACCAAACGCCTCGAAGATGGAACGTTTTATACTTATAGATCCGAGAACATGCCGACGGCCAGGAGTGGCGCTCATAGTTGTAGTTGTAGTCAGCTTATGTAGTAGTTGGAACACCAATAGTGTTCGGGTGCAAATAAAGTTCTCACTTGTACCAGAGATCAAGGACAGATGGAAGAACCGCTGCAACTTTCGATCACCGATGCCCAGGAGTTAGTGCAAAGTCGGGTCCCGAAAGCCCGACTGGGTAGATCCATCGTGCAATCGAATCCCCGTCCGCCCGTTGCAAAGGTACTCCACTTTAGATCCCGAAGCAAAAGTACTGATCATGAAACGGAAACAGCCGATATACACCTTAATTGATTCTCTCCACCAGTCAATCACCATCCGAGGGCCGATGGATGGAAGCATTATCTAGAGAATGTCATGGTTTGTTTGTGTGAACTTCCGTCTCTAACCTGTACGTGTAAACATAACTACCAATACGCGGAAACCCGCCTGCTTTGTCAATGTGTCGTCATTGACATACCCCGACTGGGTTCTGCCGCCGAGATGTTTATCGAGCGGGATAGTGCCCGATATGGGTGTGGAATTCCAAGGCATTTTCTCGTTTAGTGCCTCTTTAGCCCCCGTGCTGTAACATCGAGATGCCACCCTTGTGCCGAATTGTTTCCGACATATCCGCCATGACCAACGACGGTCGCCGGCCTGGAGAAGTTTTCGGGCTCGGGTTGCTGCTGGAGGGGGTCAAGGGACGTGTGATGGTGCCGGTGGTCTTGGGATTTCTAGGCGATGTGGTAGCCCCTCCAACAAGAGCAGCATCTCTCCTCATGCCATGGAAACCCCCCTTGGTATTGACTAGACATGCGGCCGGAGCAACTGCCCAGCCGGTGTCTGCCTTCAGCAAATCCTCACGCGACACTGGAGACTGAAGAGTCAGGATGTGGGGTTTTATTACGCTTCTGGATGAAAACAGGTGGATTCTTCCTGCGAGATAGCAAGGGCTGTGCTTGGAGGTCAGTGGTATCCAAGCTGAATCCCGCCTTGGTGTCGAACTCTATCAGGGGCTAGCCATACGGGAAGCCACCCTACCGCGGCATGTCGGACGTGGAGATCTCCAGAGACCCAGGGAAAAGTCACAAACTGAAGGGGTATTTTTTCTTGGTGTCAGGGGGTGGTCGTCTGTTAAAACCGAGCCCCTGGGACCTCAGCGGAAAGCTTGTCAAGTTCTCGGTCTGCACTCTGCAAATCGGTCTGAAGCCCCTCCCTCTGCCTGTGACGAAGCCACTTCTGGGCTCGTCTGTCTGGCACTTTTCCTTTTGAGAAACACCCGGCCTCTGACCACTTCGCTCCTTCACCAAGATGGCGATCGGGGCCATTTTGGAACCACTCATTGTGGTCAGTCTGTTGACATTTGGTACCATTGTCAACCGCAACAAGTCGGCCACTTTCTCTCCATCACCATACAGATCATCCAGGCCCGTGCCTTGGCAACATCTCAAGTACGACAAGGACCCCGACTACGATGAGCTGGAATCGGGACGGCCCAGCACAGACGACGAAAATGCCCTTTTGCGGTCACCAGTCAGCGAATCCAGCATCGGCTCCGACGGCACCTTGACCGACGAATCGAACTCACCATGGCGGAAGCGCCAGCTGAAGGTCTTCAAGTGGGAGCGTGAGGTCACAACGCCGAATACTGCCATCTTCAAGGACCGTTTCCTCAGTCGCGTGCTTCAGCGTCTTCCCTTTTTGGCCGAGGTCTGGTACTGGGCTCTTATCTACTGGGTCTACCAGCTTGGAAGAGCTTTCACAGCCGTCACTCTGCAAGAGTCAACAGTCGACACCGCTCGCGAGCATGCCCTCCAGGTTATTCACATGGAACAGCGACTGGGCATTTTCATTGAGCCTGCCGTGCAAGGTTGGTTTCTTCAGCGACCCGAGCTTATGCGATGGACGAACAAGACATACTCTTTCATCCACATTCCGGGCACGATCCTTTACCTGATCGTCCTCTACTATGTCACGACAGCCCGTCCCAGACAGAAGATTCAGGAGGAGAACGGAGGTCGCCCGATTAGTGGAAACTGGAGAAAGTTGGCCCCCCGATTCGGACCTGATACCTATGAGAAGAGGAGGAGGACCATGGCCTTCTGCAACCTGTTGGCCTTCATCGTATTTACTTTCTGGCCTTGCATGCCACCGAGACTGCTCAGCGACCCAAACTACACTGGCGAGTTTGCCAAGGAGGCGAAAAGCTATGGCTTTATTGACACTGTCCACGGCGCCGATGGTGACAGCAGTGTGTGGACCACCAACCGCTTCTGCAATCAATATGGTGAGTTCCCAACGTGTTATTCCTCTCGTCTGTGAGACAATCCACTGACTTGACTAGCCGCCATGCCTTCTCTTCACTTCGGCTACTCCTTCCTTGTTGGACTCACCATCGCCACCGTTCCCCTCAGACGCTCTGGAAAGCTTGGGTGGAAGAGACTGGCCATTGTTGCCATCGGCATGATCTATCCTGGCATTATCCTGACTGCCATTGTTGCTACCGCCAACCATTTCATCCTGGACGCCGTTGCCGGTGCTATTGCCTGCCTTCTTGCCTGGAAGTTCAACGGCCTGCTCCTCAACCTCCTGCCAGTCGAGGACTACTTTTTGAGGGCTGTCAGGATAGCCAAGCCTTGAGCATGGATTGAAGAACTTGGAGTTTCAGCGTTGGCACAATGGGCTTGGGATACCTTCCGACCGATCAGCAGTTGGATTCCATCTATACAGTACACCGAACTAATCACCCCGAATACCAAGTACCAGCATATTGGATGACTTGGTGGTCAAAGACAACCATAGTATTATTAATACATATACACTTGATACCCCCCCTCCCCCCTACCAAATCCCCTCTGCCCCCCCGGGTCCTTCAAAGACTCTTTCATCTCTGTTTCTTGTTCAGCCCCCGAGCAGCTGTTTTCATCATCATTCTGATTGATGTCTTCATCGGCCTCCGCAATGCTTTGATGACTCTCCTCATGATCCTGCTTCTTGTTACTTCTTGGGGAGTTACACTGGGTGCCAGCGGAATACCAATTGCAGTTTCTAGTCAATGTAAACTTGTTCTTTGCCGGAGATTCAACCCTTGCTCGATGGCGAGCTGTCTGCTGACCAAGGATGAGATTCATCTTCTGGGTCCATATTCCAGGTTGGTCACTCAAGTTCGGGCTAGATAGAGGCTCGTGGGAAGCGGAATTTGTACATGAGAAGGGTTTGAATAGGAAATGTTGAAGAACACGAAGATGTTAAGTCGTCTTGAGCGTTTGGCCAAGGGATATTTTGTTTGTCCAGTGGTGGACATGCAAGCGGGACAAAACTTGTTGATATGATGTCAGGCATGGTAGCTGTCCCAAAAATAGGAACAGGCTTGCGACCTGTGCCCATGCCCTTGATAAATGAAACCACAAACTACTCGCACGGATGAAACCACCCATTTATGTAGTTAGATCGTGCGTTGCATCCGGCCCGGTCCGGCGCCGGTAAACTTTCGGCTGGTGTCCCTCTCCGGGGGCTTGGTACGGATCTCACCCGGAGCCCCAACAGGTGAGGTCGTTTTGCGCTTGCGCACAAAAAAGCGCAGATTAAGAAGCATCACCTGATCATCTTAACAAGGTTCGTCCTTTTTTCAGTGCTGAATTGGTAATCACAGATAGATTCACAACCTCAGGGGTTAGGCAGCAAAAGCTCTGCTGGACTATTGGTTTCAAGGAGATGAGTCATCGGATGCTGAATAATCCTGCAGCTGGCTTTCGTTGTGGACAGTACCGTATCTGACATTGTATCTGTTGGTTTTCCAGCCCATACCAAAACACCACAACGGCTCTGTAAAAACCTTGCACGGAAAAGACAACCAAGAGATGAAACCATACCGCGAATGCCGTATTGCACTCAGCTCTCGAGACCGAACGCCAAGCATGTTGAATTTGCAGGGGGTGGATAATCGATCAGTGACAATCCACTGAACCAAATTTGCAAACAGAGCAGAGACGCGCAAGCTTTGTGAAAGACGTCAACTCTGTGGCGGTTCGTTCGGACTGCTTGCCTTTGGTCTTGCATCTTGAGAAGGACGAAATTGAGGACAGAGGTAGCTATGTGTGACGATACCTCAATAGAGAGGTGATAGGCGTTGCGGCTGTGTCAACCGAGTCTGATAGAGGTTGAAGGCGCTGCCATTAATTGCGGGGACGATTGCACAGTTGGGCGGGGAAGTTGATGATGTGGGTCGCAACTACCGCACAATACCTGATTGGTCAGCCTGTAAGAGGCAGCCGCAGCTGGTGACACCAGTGACGACCTCCAACACTACCACCACTCCTTTCGTATTCCACACAGATTGCCTGCAATTTAGATAGGCAACAACATGGAGACTTAGAGAGGAAGCCATTTTTCTATAAAGCCGGCTCCTTCTTCCCACTTGTTCTCTGACACTTTCTCTCATTCATCACAAGTCCAACCCCATCAACACCTGAGCCCTTGCTTTTTACCCATTCACAGGTTACCTTGCCAGGCTTCACAGGATTTTCGCCATGTCTCTGTTTGGAAGCCAGCAATGGCGGATGAAGCAGCAGAGTCCCATTACTCACGTGTGTGGATTCTATCATACCTTTCATGACAGACCTGGCCGACAGTTTCTGGCACCCCTTTCGATCAACGCCCATGCCACCATTATCGCCTCCACCAGTCGGACAACTCTTACCCAAACTTTTCGATCGCCCTCGTCCCCGGTCAAGGAACTGAAATATGCGTTTCCTCTCTATGAAGGCGTTTCAGTTGTGGGTTTTGTCTGCGCCGTCAACAACGACCGCGTCATCCACGGAGTCGTCAAAGAACGCTCTGAGGCACGCCAGACTTACGTCGACGCCGTAGCTCAAGGCCAGGTTGCCGGTCTGCTAGAGCAGTCTTTCGAGGCCAGTGACGTCTTCACCACAACTATTGGCAACATACCAGCCGATGCAAGCCTCAAGGTCGAGATCACATACCTGGGTGAACTGAAGCACGACGCTCAAGTTGACGGAATCCGCTTCACAATCCCAACCAGCATAGCACCCCGCTATGGCAGCTACCCTGGTGATCTGCTCCAAAGCACCCAGTTTGGTGCAACAAAAGGGATCAGCATCACAGTTGATGCTGAGATGCCCAGTGGTTCCCAAATCAAAAGTGTCCAGTCCCCGTCCCACCCCATTGCCGTTACCGTTGGCAGCACTTCGGTTGGCGCCGCAAAGGGTGCCGAGATGTCTCTCCAAAAAGCTTCAGCAACTCTCTCCCTGGGCACTTCCGAGCTGGACAAAGACTTCATTCTCCATGTGGTGGCCACCAACACCGCCAACCCTGTCGCTGTGCTTGAGACCCACCCCACCATTCCCAACCACCGAGCCCTGATGGCGACGCTTGTGCCCAAGTTCAACCTTCCTTCTTCGAAGCCTGAGATTGTGTTTGTCTGTGATCGTTCCGGATCCATGGGTGACGGCAAGAGAATTCCGAACCTCCAGACCGCTTTACATCTGTTTCTGAAGTCTTTGCCGCTTGGTGTCAAGTTCAATATTTGCTCTTTCGGCTCCCACTGGGACTTCATGTTTCCGGAGGGCTCCCGTACTTACGATGCCAGTAGCTTGGCCCATGCCACCCAGTATGTCAACAGCATCTCGGCCAACTATGGTGGTACCGAGATGCGCATGCCCCTGCAGGACACCTTCAAGAGGCGGTACAAAGATATGGATCTTGAAGTGTTCATGCTGACTGATGGTGAGATCTGGGACCAACAGCAAGTCTTCGGGATGATCAACACGCATGTGGCGGAGAGCGAAGGTGCAATCCGTGTCTTTTCTCTGGGTATCGGCAATGATGTGAGCCATGCTCTTATTGAAGGGATCGCGCAGGCGGGCAACGGGTTCTCACAGTCGGTGGCCGATGACGAAAGCATGAACAGCAAAGTTATCAGGATGCTCAAAGCTTCGTTGACGCCTCATGTGAAGGACTACACCCTGGAGATCAAGTATGGTAAAGAGGATGAGTCAGGCTCTACGACCGAGGTTGACGACGATTTTGAGCTTGTTGAGAGGGTTCAAGATGCCCTTGTCATTGATGTGGGTGAAGTTGACTCGGAGAAGACACAACCAGAGCAAGCGCCAAAGCAACCGATTTCCCTGTTTGATGAGGCGGCTGATTTTGACACTGAGACGACGGAACCGGGACTCGACACCTCTGCTGGTGGGAAGTATTCTCACGTGCCCAAGGTCGCAGAGCCCAAGATTCTCCAGGCTCCCTTCGTCATCCCTCCCCTGTTTCCGTTCTCGAGAACCTCAGTCTACTTGCTTTTGTCCCCGGAGGCTAGCCGCAGGACTCCCAAATCAGTGGTCCTTCGCGGCACCTGTCCCAGTGGCCCACTCGAGCTTGAGATTCCTGTGACTGTTCTTGCTGAGCCCGGAGAGACAATCCATCAGCTCGCTGCTCGCAAGGCAGTCAGAGAACTTGAAGAAGGTCGCGGTTGGATCTACCACGCCAAGGATTCCAAGGAGAAGGATGCTGCCCTTCTTCGTACCAAGCACTTTGGTCGCTTCTCTGACATGGTGGAACGTGAGGCTGTCCGGCTAGGGGTCGAGTATCAGGTTGGAGGCAAGTGGTGCAGTTTTGTAGCGGTAGAGAAGGACCAGGATGTAAACATGTCTCGAGACTTGACCGCGCAAGCAGAACACAATGTGCGGCAGGATAGCGAATTCCATCAAGCGCTTTATCAACAACGACATCTTCGACGGGCGATGATGAAGACAGCATCTCCTTTTGGTCAGCAATTCCAAGCTACCGCAAGCACTCAGCAATTCCAACAAGCCCAACGAGCCCAAGGTTTTGCAAGCGCTCAGTACAGCGGCTCGGGAGGAGGCGGCTTTGGTGCCCAAGCCAAGGCTATGTCGGGTGGCCTCTTCGGAGCCGCCATGCATCCAGCGGGTGGATTGTTCGGAAGCTCATCACCATCCGGAGGAGGACTATTCGGCAACGCCTCGGCCCCTCCCCCACCTCCGCCCTCTGGAGGTGCGCTCTTCGGAGCGTGCGCTCCTGCTCCGTCTGCTCCCGCTCCCCTGTTCGGATGTGCAGCACCACCTCCCCCGGCTCCAGGAGGGCTCTTTGGCACAACAGCTTTCGGCTCCCCGTCACCAACCTCAGCAGGCGGACGTTTCGGCAGCGCCTCGTCTGCCCGACCAGCATCGTATCTCTTTGGATCCACCGGAAGCAAACCCTCACCTTTCGGATCACCTGCGCCCCAGGCCAGCCCTGCGAAGCCGTCTGTGGCACCCTACCGATGGACCCCCGCCTCCAGTGCCGACAAAGGGCCAACGGTTTACGTCACGCCGGAGCAGCTAGCGCAATATGAGCAGGAGATGAACCAGGCAGCTACGATGCCTCTTCCCGACGAGGACGACAGCGGCGACGAGGGGGCCCCGATGGCACAAGCGTCGGCCCAGGGGAAAAAATCAAGCTCGGACAGATTGGAAGCCATCGTGGCGCTGCAGCAGTTTTCAGGACAGTGGGAAGGGACAGAGGAGTTGTTGACGCTTCTTGGGCTGGACAAACAGGCGGTGGCAGCAAAAATTAAGGATTTGGGGTTGATGGACAAAGGGGATGACGTGATTGCTACGGCGTTGGTATTGGCCTATTTGCAGACTCAGTTGGGTGAGAGGAAGGATGAGTGGGAGATGATGGCAGAGAAGGCTAAGCTTTGGCTGAAGGACCAGGGAGTGGATTTTGATGCGCTGCTGTGAAGTGGTGTGTGAGATGGGCTGGGTGGATTTCAACTACTGGGAGTCCTGTGTTGGGAAATGGATGAAAATGGATCCGGCCTCGTTTCGTCGTTTTCATTCAAAGACACTTTGTTGAGTGGAATAATGGGCGATGTGCTTCCGAATGAAAAGAAGAGATAGTTTCAACCATCAAAAAAAAAAAAAAAGATAAAAAAAAGATAAAAAGGTTAGATAGCTTCAATGACGACCATGGTTGTTCAATACTCTTTCCCCCTGCCGTGCTGACAATCAAATCCAAATGTATCATGCTCAGTCAGCGTCTCCGTGTCTGGCTCGGCTTTTCAATCTACATGCCGAGATCATGCACGCCTGGTCCAGGACCACACTGCCTGCTGGGAACTTTGCTCTGACAGCCCAGCCGCGGCGTCCGTATTGTCTCCACCGTTGCACTGCAGCTATTCAGTCCCAACCGACCGTCTCTCACTCACCATGACTGATCTCTCCGATGTGCTTTATCAGGAGAAAAACCAATAAATGTGGGTAAGCATTAGGCCACCATGCAAGTGAGATCCAACGAGGAGCTGAGACGCATGTGCCTGCATGATCGCTACCGCACCTCGAACCTCTGTTTTGTTGGCTCGGGGTTCTGATATTGGTGCCATGAAAAAGCTCATCAAGATAGGTGTCGAGAAGAAGCCCACACGAGTTGCCATTCTTGTTCGGGTACAGCAAAGCCAGAGAGGTATAAGGCTCACTGGAAGCCTTTCAGGGCCTAGGTCTTGTGTCATTTTGAAATGAAATAATAGCAACTAAGAATCAGGATGGTTCGGCTTGGTTTTGTCTGTGGCCTCCTGGCTGCTCTCAGCAGTGCGGTCCAAGGCCATCGTGACACCGAAGCATTCGACCTGACACCTCGCGGCGGTGGCAAGAAGGTTTGCCCGCCCTTGAACAGGGGCGGCTTCATCGTCAACTACTTCCAACTCTACCCCGAAAACGCCGACTGGGACGAGGAAAATTGTCTCCTCTGGATTGGGTAACACTTGCACACAGACAAGGCTTTCCCACACCAATCGCTGACGTGTATGTAGCTGCCTCTGGAACGCAACGGTAGGCATCTACGACCCCTACCGTGACAGAATGCTCGATGTCCTCTTCTTTCCCGGCATCTCCCTCACCCTGGCCCACATCGGCGGCGTCGCTCGCGATCCTTACTCGGGGCTGATCTCCATCCTCTCCAACTCTGGCAACCCCTGGGCAACCGGTGGAGCCGATGTAACCGGCGAACGCCAACTCATGAAATATGACCCCAAGAAGAAAAAGGTTCTCTGGGCGAGGAACATGACGGACATTTCCCGCGATCGATACGGCGGGTTTCAGGATGTGGAACATGATAAACGGGGGAATACCTACATTGTCGGGACTCACCCTGGGGTTATTATTCGCGTGGACAAGAATGGAAGAAAGCTTACAGAGTGGTATTTGCATCGGCCTTTGTCGCCGACGACGAGGAAGGGGTATAGCGGATTGGCTGTGGTGAAGGGGACTGATATTATGCTGGCGAGCGATGGTGATGGAAAGTTGTACCGGTTTGATTTGAGGGAGGAGAGGGGGAGGCCGGTGAATGTGCCGCTGTTGGGGGAGGGCCTGCACCTGAACTTGGATGCGATTTACCTGCCGCCAAAGTATGGGGGGAGTGTGCTGTTGGTGGCGGATTTGTTTGAGGGGATTCAGGTGCTAAGAAGTAAAGATAGGACGTGGAGGAAGGCGGAGAACTTGGGGACGATTTCGAAGCCTCCGACGTTGAATGGCCTGGTGATTGATGGGGCGGTTGTGGCTCCGGTGCAGATGGGCAGCAATTCTCTGTACATGGTCATTGGGAACATTGATCCTTTCATTCCGGGCATGGTTGCAGGTAATCGGACCCTGTTCCCTTTTCCCGACATCACGAATGCGGTGGAGGGGTTGCTGAGGAGGGGCTGAGGAGGTGATGCCATTTTCGGAAGTCCCTTCCTTGCAGCCCACTGGAATACTAGTATCACAATGTGCGCTTCGCATGGATTACGTTGGCGGCCCAGGACAGGCTTGGTCCTGTCACCCAATACTAGTAATCATTTCTCGCATCAATGTTCTCTCATCTGAAATGCTTCATCTGTGGCATAAAAGGCAGTTGCAACATCAAACTAAACGAGAGCCTGGTCAGTTTCAGTTTCCTTCCGACCCTACACTGAGCGTGACATGTCATCTCAAACACCGTCAACGACTCTAGCGCCGATGGCAGGAGTAGAAAGTTCTTGGTTTATAATGTGGACATTCTCCTTTCTCATGGTACGTACATGTTTGCTGGTACTGGCACTGCCAAAATGCTGTGTTGACCCATCGAGCAGATCTGGCTGGCGCTTAATATCATCTACAACTTGTATTTTCATCCACTTGCCGGAGTGCCCGGTCCCAGAAGCTGGGGAGCACTTCGACTCCGATACGTCTGGGCACTTGTGAGCGGGACCATCGTTCACGATTTTGAAAAACTTCATCATAGATATGGGCCGGTTGTTCGCGTTGCCCCAAGCGAGTTATCTTTCACAACACCCGATGCTTGGACCGACATTCTTCAGCCAGGTCGCACACCGCCATTACCCAAAGATGGTCGGTGGTCTATTCCTGGCTTAAAAGCCCAAGGGATCGTCAACATTGTTGACCTTGATCTCCATGGCCGAGTTCGAAGGTTGATTGCACCAGCATTTACCACGTCGGCGCTACGAGGTCAAGAGCCCATCCTACAACAATACATCACATTGTTGATGGATCGGCTTCGAGACCTTGTCACAACCGAAAAAAACGGCGCAAAGGGCGTTGAGATTGATGTCGTTCCGTGGTTCAACTTCGTCACCTTTGATATGCTGGGTGATCTGGCATTTGGAGAATCATTCGATTGTCTGCACACATCGCGGTATCATTCCTGGATTGAGCTCCTAACAAACACACCAAAAGCAGGAGCATTTGCTGCTGCTGCCCTGTTTTATCCTCTTTTCGCATCGGCACTCAAGTATCTCATTCCGGCATCGCTGAAGAACAAGGTTCTTGATCACGTCCGAGTCGTTTCAGAGAAAGTTGAGCGTCGACTGAACCTGGAGTCCACACGATCTGACATCATGTCCCACGTGATCAACCAGATAGAAAGTGATGGCCTGGAGGGACTTACCATGGATCACGTCAACGCAACGTTTATGGTGCTCACGATTGCTGGTAGTGAGACCGTCGCAACCACCTTGTGCGGGATTGTGAATTATCTTGCTCAGAATCCTAGCAAGCTTTCTATCCTCACACACGAGATTCGCAGCCATTTCTCAAACCCACACGAGATGACTTTGGAGAGATTGAAAGGCATGCTCTATCTTAATGCCGTGATCGACGAGGGGTTGCGCCTGTGTCCGCCAGTTCCTTGGCTTCCACCCAGAGTGGCGGCTAATGGGGGCTCAGTTGTTTGTGGGATACCACTACCTGGGCGTGTAAGTAAACTGCCGAGAGTGTGTAAGCCCTTTCGTTGCTAACAATTTTCAGACCGCGGTTTCCATTCTCACCTACGCCATGGGCCGTGACCCAAACAATTTCCACGATCATTTGTCATTTCTCCCCGAGCGGTACCTTCCTGAAGCTAAAACTGATCCGCAATCGCCTTTCTTCAATGACCGGCGCCAATCTTATCATCCTTTCTCTTTCGGGCCCAGGATCTGCATTGGTCTCCATCTCGGCATGGCCCAGATGCGTTTGATTTTGGCCAGATTGGTATGGGAGTTTGATTTGAAGCCGCCAACAGAACACAGGAAAACCCAATGGGAAAAGCTGAGAACTTTTATATTGGTTGAGAAGAACGAGATATTTGTGAACTTCAAGTTGAAGGAAGGCTTGTGGACGGCGGAGATGAAATCCTCGGCCTCGTCCTAGTACACAAGTTCGCAGCGTCGCAATGGGGACAACCAACAGGCCCAGGACTCCAGGAGCATGGGTCTGACAAAATCAACCACTACCAACGGGCTTATTTTTGAGGAGCTTGCTCGTAATTTATTTTCCCCACAACTCGCAACAAACTTCAAAGCATCATCGACCCACCATGGGTGGTCAATGGTCACAGTTCTTCCCGCCAAAGCCCACATACACCGAGGCGGACCTTGTGACACAAGATGGCAAGGTTATCTTGATCACGGGAGGCGCCTCAGGAATTGGTTTGGAGATTTCTACCATGCTTTACCGCAAGAATGCACGCGTGTATATCGCAGGCAGGTCAGAAAAGAACGCACGCGATGCTATTCAAGCAATCCAAGCAGCGAACCCTTCGTCCACCGGCACCCTCGACTTTCTTCACGTTGAACTGGATGACCTGAGGACGATCAAGTCATGCGCCGACGCATTCAAGGCGAAGGAATCGCGCCTCGACCTCCTATTTCACAATGCAGGTGTTTCGCAGCCTCCGCTAGGGAGCGTCTCAAAGCAGGGCGTTGAATTGCAACTTGCAACCAACTGTCTTGGACCATTCCTACTCACTCAGTTTCTACTCCCCCTTCTTCAGCAGACCGCATCCTCGGCAGCACCAGGAAGCGTCCGCGTCATATGGACCAGCAGCCAAATGGCCGAGTTGAGCGCCCCCAAGGGGGGTCTCATAATGGACGAAATACGTTCACCACCACCGAATGACAAGGGCAGGAATTACACCAACTCCAAAACAGGAAATATCTTCTTGTCTGCCGAGCTTGCGCATCGTCATCCAGCCAGCACGTCGGGGATCGTGAGCGTGTCGCTCAACCCAGGAGCCGCTGCCACGAACCTATTTCGCCACACACCTTTGCTTCCGTACCTGGCATGGCCACTCATGTACACTGCAAAATTGGCAGCACATACGCAACTATTTGCCGGCATCTCCCCGGATATAACGGTCAACAATAGTGGGTGTTATGTCGTTCCTTTTGGGAGGCTGGCGAACTTGAGACAAGACATTGTTGAAGGAGCAAAGAGAAAAGAGGAAGGCGGACTGGGCCTTGCAGGAGAGTTCTGGGACTGGTGTGAGGAGAGGACGAGAGATTACATGTGAGGGTTCTTTTTCTATTGGCAATGGGAACAGATTCTCCGGATTGTCCCCTGTCTAGGGCTGCCAAGGGCATCCTGCACTGCCCATCCGTTTAGCGCTGCGTTCAAGTCCAGCCGCACTGTAGAAAGTAATGTTGGGCTTTCCTGCATGTTCCAATCAGCCGACATCCTGAGGCATGGCTTCCAGGTTTATGTATATGTGATCTCCGCCGTTGCGTCGCATTCTTTCCTCCCCAAGACTCCGCATCCATCCCCCCGCTCGCTGACGGTGTGAACTCAGACTCGGACCAGAATGCAGGAAGAACACCTCAGCAAAAACGGAAGTGAGGAGGAGGAAGCGCATGACCCATCGCATCCTCCAACGGAAATATCCGACCAGCCGGGGGATCAGCACGATGACAACCCCCTCGACGACGACAACGAGATTGCTGCGCCGCGAGAGCAGTTGGCTAACATCTTATCTAGTGGACAAATAGAGAGCTGGAGGAATACGCAGTCTCTTGCGTATCAACTCCTCCTCCAATCACTGCACTCGGCAAACCAGTCCCACGAAGACCTGCCTCCTTACATCGACGCTGCAATCTTCGACAGGATTAGCTCGCAGTTCCTCCAAAATATCCTGGCCTCCTTCAATCCTGCCCCCGAGCAACCAAGACAGCTTCCGCTTGAGCCGAAGAAAGTCCGTGACATCAGAGTCCTGGTCACTATCGGAGAAAATGTTTACAGAGCTCTTATTACCTTCCCGGGGGACTTGTTGTTGTGGGAACTTCTCGGCCCGAAGTGGCAGACACGCTATGCCTTGGATTTCTATGTTCATGCAATCATATCCTACGCTGGAGATGATCTTTACCGCGCCATTGGGGGCATGCTCATCTTCCCACTGGTGACCACGCTAGGAGGATTGAACACCATCCACTTCCTCCTTGGCTTGCGTCAAGCAACGTCTATCACATGGCCTGATGCCTCTTCCACAGAGATCCCGCTGGCAAAGCTTGTCGAGGAGTATACGCTTGACCTCGAGTTGGAACACTGGCTGAAGTATCTGACCGCCTCCCCGTTCATCCTGGTGACGTTGTTCCTTCGAGCTACTTACGAAACCATTCGCTGGATCTTCCCCAGCATTTGGCTCAGACTGCCCGCGGTTTCCGCATTGACTGCTGGATTTTGTTACCATCAAATGTACAACTGCCAGTCTACTATAGTCCAGAGTGTTACGCACTGGCCTAGACCCGTTATTCGAGAGGTACGACGGTTTATGGTTTTCATTCTTGATCTAGAAGCCTCAGTCAGAACGCGTGCTGTCCGCCTGGTTTGTAAATTCAAGACTCGGGGCCTCGAACAATACACTTACACGCCTCTTGACGCCAACAACGCCGAGTTTAGGCTGTTGCGGCTGGAACCGATCTCTGGCGACAACCTCGTTCGCTGTTGGCTGGTGAGCGTACCGCTAGGAGAGCACCGCAGCAAGGAAGCATACGAGGCAATCTCATACCGGTGGGGAAATGAAGGACGAAACTTTCCCATTGTCATTGACGGCAAGCGTTTCTTGGTCACGAGAACCGTCTTTGAGCTTCTTCACGCCCTGCAGACCAAGGACAGGGGTAGGTATGTCTGGATCGATGCCATCTGCATTAACCAGGGTCATGAACACGCGTCAGCCGACAAGCCTGCCTCCGTTGAAGACCTGGATGAAAAGTCCAACCAAGTTGCGTTGATGGGGACCATCTACCGTAATGCGAGCCAAGTCATCGCCTGGGTTGGGGGTACGGCCAATGGACGAGGTGCCCTCTCTTTCATCAACAAGACCGCCTGTCGAGACCCAGAAACCATGGACAACTTCGAATATGAGAGAATCACGGTAGAACTATGGCCGTGGACGATCCTTACCACTTGGCTGAGAGTTATTGAGCTGTTTAAGCAGCCATACTTTCGCCGCATGTGGATGTTGCAGGAAGTAGCCCTGGGGAGAAAGGTCGTGGTAAAGCATGGAGCTGAGGAAGCCGACTGGGATGATATCTGTCCCCTCGTGAACTTCATGATGGGGAGCGATGGTGAGCCATTCCTTCACGAACCTGGGTTCTGGACCGTTTGGTACAATTTTCCGACCACCATCCTTGGCGTCAAAGGAGCCCATGTAATGAGCTTGGTCCGAAACCAAGTCGCCGGGTGGAACGCCGAAGGAAATCCCCGGTCCGAGCCCGTCAGCCAGGAGTGGGATCAAGACCGTGTCCGTCGTCTCCCACTGGATACTTTGCTTGGCCTGACAACGGACCTCTCGGCTTCGAATATCAAGGACAAGATCTATGCCGTCCTTGGCCTGACGCAGCAAGAAACCCGCCAGCATATCAATATCGAGTACGACGACACGATTCTGCCTGCTGGAGATTTATTGCGCGACAGTGCCAAGCACATCTTGATTGGTCGCCATGAGCCTGCCGAACGATTGGGTCTCGCCGGCTGGGGCTTCGAGCCATCTGGGCTTGACGTTGTTGATGACCATATCTGGGCGGCTTCGCCCTGGTCGTGCATTGTGCTATGGATGAGGCGGGTGCCGTGGTGGAAAGCGCCTGCATCACTGCCGAGTCTCCCATCGTGGGTGCCTCACTGGACACTGAGCAGGTTTCAACTGCCTGCTATGGAACCTGTTGGATACAGTGCTGGTGCGCATGGCACAAAACTCTTTGAGGAGATCCCGGGTCGACCCAATTGCATACGAGCCTCATTATCTATCGTGGACGAAATCGAATTGCTGGGAAAGCCCTTTTTGACGGCCGTAGAGTTGATGCAACGCCCAACAACCATTTTCAACAACATACGTGCCTTCGTTCTAGAGGCAAAGAGCTTCGCAGCTCAGCTCCACAGGGATGCGCTCGCGCGCGAAGAACCGATCTCTGAGGATGGATTGGTAGAGGCGCTGTACCGGACGATATTCTGCGATTATGCCACGGGGTCCTTGCCCCCGATGGACACGTCCGTTCTTTTCCAACACGTGGCTACTTGTGAGGGTCTCCTCACGGCGAAGGGATACCAAAGACAGGCGGACGGCAAGGCTCATGAGAAGCTCGGTTTCGAGCTCGGTCGGTCGATTGGGGGTAAGAGCTTCTGCGTCACGAAGGGCGGGAGATTCGGGATCGTTCCTCCAAGGAGTCGGGTTGGCGATAGCATTGTGATGGCATGGGGCACCCCTTTGCCGCTGGTTATGCGATCGGCGTTGCGACATCAAGAGCTGCTGTTGAGAGAGCCTGGGAAACAAGCACCGATAGTTGGGCCTTTGGAAGGAGATGAGCATGTGTTGATGGGGGGCTGCTACGTGCATGGAGTGATGCTGGGTGAGCTGCGGCCCACGGAATATCCGCCAGAAATGGTGGTTCTGAGATGAGCAAGGGAACTGGGCTATCTGTCTAAACATGGCGTGAAAGCATAGCAACCACCAGGAGCTTGGTCAGGTCCATGTCGCTTGAAATATCAGATGAAGTTTTCCAAGCAGTGTGCAGGCCACCAGACACGACCGACAGGGGATGAGGCGAGGGTGATATACCTTGGGAATCGTCTTGTAAACTTATTACCGGTTACCTATATGTCTGATATTTCAACACTGCTCTCCACCAGTGACCAACATGCAGCGGTCGGTGGATCTGCCTCAGTTGGCGAGATGCAGCTGCTGGCAGGCCCTTGGGCCCCAGCATCAGACGTGCCATGCGTGCCTGCTGTCGATTGCTGGCGCAGCCTCCAAGGTGCTCCGCCCTTACAGCGTCGTTCTTGACCTGTTGACCGAAATACAATCAAATCTTGGCGCTGTCTCAGAATCCAAGCTGCTTACTGTTTCCGACACGGTAATGCCTGGGCCTGCATATCGCGCGCGCGGTCGTGGTTGGGGGTGCCGACTTCCATTCTCACCGCGGCCGACTTGTCATACGTGCTGTCTCACCTCATGGCAATGCAACCCCTCAGGGTACACCAGAAATGTGGTGGGACTGATACGACCTAACCCGCTGTTGGCGGGCTATACCAGGCTGACCCCAACACAAGACTCGTAATTGGGCTAACTGAACAGTCTGAGTGGAGGTTGTGAATCCGGTACGCCACCCACAGAAGCAAACATCGAGCACGCGGCCGGCCATGCCATGTATTTGAGATGGGTAAGATACACATGCCGTCCCTGCCGCTTAGAACACGGCATGTTGCCGCATGACTGGCCGATCATCTGGGAGAGTACAGTCCTCATCCATGAGTGAGGTGGTCTTGTGACGGGTTTACACCTTCTTGGAGTTGACTTGTGGGGACGTTGTCGGCCCAATTGTTAGATTAAGCTCCCGACGACGGACCGAACCACGTTGAGATGACACGACTCGCTTTTCAACGGCCCGCTTGTGGGTTTGACTCGAGCACTATAAAGGTCCTCTTGACTTTTCTTCTCCGGCGAGAGACGCTTGCTGCCAGCCGCACTACTTCATCATTGCTGTAGGAACATGCCTATCTTACTTTACGCCCACCTCTGTTTGGTCTTCTTGGCACTCGCTGTCACCGCCGGGCCTCAGGATGCCTACACCATCTTTACGACAGTTTTAGTGACAGCGACAAAAACGATTAGAGACTCTGACGCGACGGCTGCCCCTTCAGCCCATGCAGCTGCTCCGTACCAGCTCCTACGCCCTCACCTTGACACACCATGGACTGACAAGGTTGGCACAAGCCCCTGGCCGCAGTATCCACGTCCTCAACTCCGTCGCGAGCCATGGCGGTCGCTGAACGGAATATGGACCTACCAGTCAGCTCAAGGAGCTGGGGATGTCAAGAGTCCGCCTCGATTGCCCCTTCGCCAAGAGGTTTTGATCCCCTCTTGCATCGAAAGTGGCATCTCCGGGATCATGACCGAGGGCATGACGCACATGTGGTTTGGCACGACCTTTACGATCCCTCTCGAGTGGAGAGGTGGGAAACGTGTTTTGTTGAATTTCGAAGCAGTGGACTACGAAGCAACGGTGTTTATCAATGGCGTCCAGCTCGCGTTTCATCGTGGTGGATATTTTCGGTTCAGCTTGGATGTCACTGAGAAGATCAACTTTGACGGACCAAACGAGCTGCAAGTCGGACAATCACGGTGTTTGAGAAATTTCTGATGCTGATCTGTGGTATAGCAAGGTGTTTGTCTTCGATCCAACAGACGATCAAAGCATCCCACAAGGGAAGCAGACCAAACGTCTCTCGCACATTTTCTACACGCCCTGCAGCGGTATTTGGCAGACAGTATGGCTTGAGAGCGCTTCCAACAATCATATCAAGTCATTGGATCTGACGGCCAACATGAACGGCGACGGCAAGTCCGACGCTTGATGACACCTTGAAAATTGACAGCGGCTGATGAAATTCAACAGTAACTTTCACCGTACATAGTTCCCAGAACCAATCCACCCCGATTAGCATTGAGGTATCCACGAAATCAGGGGAAGTGGTAGGGCGATTCGATGCAGAGTCAGACCGGCAGTTTGTGTTCAATGTCCCTGGCCCACAACTCTGGTTCCCTGAAACACCTACTCTCTACAATGTCACGGTCAAAATGGGTGATGACTTGATTGAGAGTTACACGGGATTCCGGACCATCTCCACAGGAGTCGTCAATGGAATCAAAAGGCCTCTTCTGAATGGGAAATTCGTTTACCTTTTCGGGCCTCTTGATCAGGGATATTGGCCAGATGGCCTTCATCTGCCACCGACTCTCGAAGCAATGGTGTACGATCTGGAGCTTGTCAAAAGTCTTGGCATGAACTTGGTTCGCAAACATGTAAGCATGAGTGAGATGAGCCTGTACGGGGGCAACTTTTCGGGCATGACTGACATTGCCAGATCAAAATTGAGCCGGACCTCTTTTACGAGGCATGTGATCGGCTCGGTCTGCTGGTCATGCAAGACATGCCTTCCATGAGGGTCCACACCAATGCTCGACCAACTGATGCCGAACAAGCCGAGTTTGAACGTCAGCTCGAAATCATGATCAAGGAACACAGAAATTACCCAAGCATTGTCACCTGGGTCATCTACAACGAAGGCTGGGGCCAAATTACGGATCGCTATCCAGAGTTTCATATCACGGACCGCATTCGACAGCTTGATCCAACACGGCTGATTAATTCCGTAACAGGGTGGCATGATCACGGAGCTGGGGATTATCATGTGAGCGAAATCCCGAGTAACTTTGCATCCGTTTCTAATTCCGAGCCAGGATAATCACCATTATGCCGATCCCCAGTGCGGTACACCATTCTACTCGCTGCCAAACACACCATATGACTCCAGCCGGATTGGATTCCAAGGAGAGTATGGAGGACTCGGCCACCGACCGTTGGATGAACAGTGAGTGGCACCATCGCTGCAATGACTTCCCATCTGACATGCACGCAGTCTCTGGCCGGTGCAAGCGGCCGTTAGGACGATCAATGAAACGTATGAGATGCATGCCGATGAGGCATCTTACAACTACCGTGCACATGTGTTGTTCGACTTGCTACGACAGCAGGTTGAGCACTTTGCATGCAGTGGTGCTGTGTACACTCAAACGTCGGACGTGGAAGGGGAGGTCAATGGGCTTGTGACCTACGACCGTCGCGTGGTGCGTGTGGATGTAACGCAATGGAAAGCCGACATACAGGCGCTGTACGACGCTGCGGCAGCTCGGGCTTGAGGGGGGCAGAGATTCATATTGATAATGGCATTATTACGCAGCATAAAGTAATGTTCAGTGAGTTATGAGATAACTAGCTCTACAGGTCTCACGTCTGTGACACCAGCCATGTGGTTGTGAGCTTGATGAGGAAGGTACTATTACTTCCACTGCTCTTCCCCGCATACTTGTACGTCATTGACGAAGCACAGAAGCGAATCAACGATGTAGAGAAGCTATTTATGCCGGGCATTGGTTTCACGACACGTGCATGGAAGCGTGGTGCGTTTCTATCTACTTGTCTCTTGTCTGACCGCAAGACTGGGAACCATAGTATCGGGTGACCACGGTTTTGTTTGTTGAGAATACTAGCACGAGAGCTGTGGTGTTTGTGCAATTGCAGCTACGGGTTGGCACTGCCGTTGATGCCCAAAGTGTTCACAGCCTTCGGCATCCGACATGCTCTTCGAGCTGTTTTTTGCTGTTCTGCATCCTCAATATCAACCCGAGGCAAGGTGGATTCAGGGACTCGGTGGCTTGTTCAGGGGTAATCAACGACTCCACTGTTGACCGGACAACGAGTATCACAGATATATAGCCGTAACAAAGAACAAAGCAAAAACGACTCTAAATTTGCAGATGTATTCGGGTTATTGTTTCGCTCTTTGATCATGGTTGATGTTTGAAGGTTTTGAGCTGGCAGTAGCTGCTTCGTGCTCCACACCTGAGGCTGTTTTCCTTCGCCAAAGCAAAGCAATAATCCTCTGTGGCGCAATTGGCTAGCGCGTCTGACTGTTAATCAGGAGGTTGGAAGTTCGAGCCTTCCCGGAGGAGATTTGTGATTATTTTTGTCAATTGATTTTTTGTATCAATCTTGATGATATTTGACCTCTGCACCATCCTCTCGGGACATTTTGCTGCCGTCGCGAAGATCTCTCCATGTCGTTCCCACGTTGGCCGCTGAAGCCGAGCTCGGCGTTATTCCTCCCAGCACCAACCCATTTTTCTTGTGGCGCGATGGTAGAACAATGCAAACGAACCCCCCGCGACTTGTACTCACTCGGCCACGTCATAGGTGCTAGGGAGCGTCCGGCGCAGCAAGCCAGCCATTGATGCGATCCTCCGATGCACCTCGAGACCGTTGTTCCCGGAACTCGGAATCAGCAAAATGTTTGTTCGCGCGGGATCGTGACCGCCACTTCCCGTGGTGTTAAGGCGAGTGGGGATGGGAGGAATCAAAGTTCGGTTACACCAGTCCGGGGAGCGGCTCCGGGGGTGGCGTGTTGCTGCAGTACAGACGGGGCTATTCGTGCAGAGCTGAGAAGCGACATGGCAAGAGGGTCGTAAATGGACGAACCGCGTGATGGAAAGGATGGCCGGATCGTGAGCAAAAGCCTGTTTTCTCTCTTTTCCCTGCCGAGTTTTGCATCATTCTTTCGGTCATCTCCCAGCTGGTGCTGAAGGTTGAGAGGGTTGCTTTTTGAGGGCCCACCCATCTGAAGCTATCACCATGTCTTGGCAATCCTCTCCGCGCGCACGAGTACCGGGGGCAGTCGTTGTGGCAGCAGCACTGGCGATGTCGACCATCACCCTGACGTTTTATTTACGGTCGTCGCTGGTGACTGCAACCTTGCAGACACCATTGCCACTGCCCACCGCCGCCAGTACAGACAACGAAGAGGCCACCATCCAGATTCTTGGCCACCATCTTGAACCCACCCATCCCCGCCTCTTCGCCAACACGTCAAAATGGGCCTCCCTTCCGGACCAAATACCAGGTGATGAATACCTTTCAAAGTGGAACAGAACCATCTTCCGCCAAGCCGACGAGATGCTCTCTTTACCTCCTCCAGACTACAAAAAAGACGGAACGAGTGGGATCCTCGACATCGCGAGGACTGTCCAGCTCAGGATCAAGCACTGGGCTTACGCCTACCGGTTGACCAACGACCCCAAGTGGAAAGATCGCATTTGGAAAGAAATCGTCCACACAGCCGGGAACTCTACCGGTGCTTCGTTTGGGACGCCAGGCGACAGCTGGAACACGGATCATTGGCTGGATGTAGGCGAGTTTCTGGTCGCGTTTGGGATTGCGTATGACTGGCTTTATGACGCATGGACAGCTGAGGAGAGAGAGGGGATAAGATGGAGTGTTGTTGATTTAGGCCTGAGAAAGGGGTTGGAGAGCTTTGAGAGGAAGGAGTGGTTTCTGGGGGTGACGGGGAACTGGAACTGTGTTACTGCGGGTGGGATGATTGTGGGGGCGTTGGCGGTGTTGGGGGATGACACCAGTGGTGTGGCGAGAAGCTTGTTGGGGAGGGCGGTGGAAAACGCAGAGCAGCACTGTGGCAAGAGTGTTGACGAGAGCGGGACGTGGGCTGAGACGCCGGATTATTGGCATTTTGGGACGCAGGCGCATGCACAGCTTTCGTCGGCGTTGTTAACATCGTTGGGGAGTACCTTTGGGATGTTGGACAGCCATCCCAAGTTTCGGGAGACGGGCATGTTTCATATTCATAATATCGGGATGACGGAAAAGTTCAATTATAGGGATTGCGGTCCGTCCAAGATTACTGCTACGGCGAATTCGCTATTCTTTTATGGGAGGGAGTACGGCATTCCTGAGTATGGTTTGTTTCAGAGGGACAGGCCTGATGCGGCTGATCCGTTGTCAATGCTCTGGTATGAATCTTCTCTCAAGGGGGAATGGCACGATCATCTGCCTCTGGACAAGGCTTTCTCTGACCCCAGTGGCGCTTGGGTATCACTGAGATCTTCCTGGACGGATTCTAATGGTGTCTTTGTCGCCATGAAAGGAGGAAAGATGACCGGACACGCCACACGTAAAGCAACCCTTCATCCAGGCAGTAACATCGACTGACATATTTGGCAGATGGCAATCTTGATGCCGGTGATTTCGTTCTGGACGCCTTGGGAGAACGATGGGCGACAGAGCTATGCCAAGACAGCTACGATGCTCCTGGTTACTTTTCGAGTGAAGATCAGGACAGTGTCCGATGGGACTACTACCGCTGCGGTACAGCTGGTCAAAACACGATTGTCCACAACAACTCAAACCAGGTTGTTGACGCTGAGCCAACAGTGAAGTTTGAGAGCACTCTGGTCACTCAGAAGACCAAGGGCAAGACCGACGCTGGCGGTTTTTGGATTGCGGATCTAACCCAGGCATATGACGGCATGAGCATCAAGCGTGGAGTTCGATTACTCCCGGAGCGGAGTAAGGTGTTGATACAGGACGAGATAACTGACGCGTTGGAAACAAGTCAGTGGCGAATGCATACCAAAGCGCATATCACATACAGTAACAGTGGGAGGATAGCCCGTGAGTGTCCTTTTCAACCCCCCCCCCCCCCCCCCCCCCTTCTCGCTGCTTTGATGTTAACGACGGATAATCAGATCTACGCCTGAATGGAAAGGCTCTTGATGTGCTACTCCTGTCACCCCGAGCTGCAGTCTTTCGTACTACCAAGCCAGTTCGGTCACCCAAGCTGCATCCTCTCTCAGGTGGCCGAGAAGATCTGCCGAACCCCGGGGTCAGTGTTCTGGCTGTTGATCTTCCGCCAGGCAGTTTGACGGTGTCTGTTATTTTCTGCCCGATTTCGGAGCCTGGGGTGCAATGTTCTTTTACGTCACCAGTGCCCTTGTCCGAGTGGAGTTTGCTTTAATAAACTTGTGTTCATTCACTTTGCCCGGATCAAAATTGTCTCTGCTACTGATGGCACCTTCATTCCCCCTTTCCCTGATGAGATGGCAAAGACCATCCAATATCCTGGCACCACCACCCCTCCGTCTTCGGGAATTTCAACTCTATGCAGCGCTCTCCCTTTCTGCTTCCCCAACCCCGTTGGAACAAGCCTCACCCTCCTCTGGTCAGTATTGATCGCATGTGTCGCACTGCTGTACCTCACCATCGCTACCTCTGCCACCTCCCCGCCTACCAGCAATTCAAACACTCCTCCCAGATCCACCTCAGTGTCGGAAATCTCCAGGATCTTTGGTCGCGGATCTCCACTCAGCAGATAAGGTGGTGTGAACCTCTGCAAATCCAAGTGGTTTATCTCCTCCTCCGGCCCCAAGCACTTCTCCCAGCACAAGCCCCCTCCCCCGGTCAACACAGTTGCATCAGGCAATAGCACAGCAACACTGTGATATGTTCTTGGAATGGGCATCTTGGCCAGCGGTGTGAAAGTCAGCGTGTCAGGGTTGAACAACTCCGGCACGAGCGTTGCGTTGACGTCCGCCCATTGCTTCGCGTATGTTGCTCCGCCGGTGATGAGAACCTCGCCGGTTGGGAGTAGAACGCTGTTGGCGTATGCTCGGGGATATTTCATCCCCTTTAGCTCCTGGACCTGCGGCATGGTGAACGGGTCGGAGGGGAGGGTGACGATGTGGGTAGCGTTAGTCGCGGCGGCGTCGTTATAATGCTGCGCACCCCCCACAGCCAAGATCTTCCCTGCTAGGGCGTCGTACATCACCGCGTTTCCGTTCATTGAATCGGTGTCTTTTCCTCGAGAACCTGCGGGTTGGCAGACTCCTGAGGAGGAAACCCCGTACCAGTTCATGGCTCTGGAAGGCCCGGCTTGGAAAACGGAGTCGTTCCTCCAGGCAAAGAGCCAGGCGTGGTTGTCGCCTGCGAAGGGGCCGAGGAAGTCGCTTGTGAGGAGTGGCTCTGCGAGGGTGTTTGGAAGGGCTGTCCAGGTTTGCTTGTTGGGGTCGAATATCTCCCCGTTCTTGCCACCCAGAGGACCGCTCCAGGAACCGCCGATGGTAAAGACGCGTCCGTCGGAGAGGGTCGCTTGAGAGTGATACCCTCGACCAACAGTCAAGGGTGGGCCGGAAAGCCATCTCCCTTGGACTTCGTCATAGATGCTGGTTGCATCCGAAGTGCTGCCACCTGTAATAACTACCCGTCCGGAGGTGTCGAGCGAGAGGCCGGGACAGAACATGTTGTGGTGTGTGATGGTGACATTCTGATTGTTGACCTGGTGCGTTGATGGGTCGTAGATGACGGAGAGAGTATGTGTCGTCGCGTTAGAGAAGACATTTGGCTTGTCGGCAGCCCAGGCGAGGACTTTGCCTGTTCTTGGCAGCACCGCAATAGCTACAGGGACGATGGGAAGGGGTATGCTCTGTTCCCACCGGCCAATGTTTCTAGCGTTTGCGTGCTCTTGTCTTTGCTGTACTAGGACGTAGACGCTTGTGTTGAACTGGAACTGAAAGGTGAGGGCTAGGAACAGGAATAGCACAACTGCCAGTGAGGCAATTTTGATTAGGCCTGACATTGCTGTAAATTACTTTCATAGAGCTTCAAGAGTTGAGCTTGATTTCAGGCATGAAAGCCGACCAAGAACGAGGCGAGGCAGAGGTCAGACAGGTCCATCTTCATCCGAAACAGACGAAAGGGCGTGAACAAGGGTCCATGATGGATGTGCTCAGCTGTTCAAACATCTTTGCTTCGCATTAGATTGCGCAATATCTCCTCTTTTTCGGTTGGTCCAGACTGGCATTCCATATGGAGATGATAGCAACAGGTTGTGTTGTCAAGACTGTGCTGCATGAATGGAACCCCTATCTATCCCCATGTCTTGGCCCACAACAACAATCTCTAGCGCCCACACCATCTGTGGCCCGCATCCAGTTTTCTTGAATTTTTTCACGATCCGCTCGGTGGCGAGCTGTGACTGATCCTTTGCTGCCACTTATCAAGGGTCAATAGTGCAACTGGTGCATGCATAGGTCCATCGTGATCCTGGCATGGGTTGTTGTAGTGTCCTCGAAAATTTCCATTTTAACCGATCCCTGGTGAATTTTCGATCTTGCTTGTTGTTTTCTAGTGTTCCTGCGATATTTTGAGCCACGTGCATGAATTCATCATTCTTGAAGGAATCCTAGCTCATGTTCTGTGTGCGAGGCAACGACAGCCACAGCCAGTCAACCGGTATCCAACCGTTCGACTAGTCTGTTATCCCACCAATTCCTTTGAACGTCTGACATTTCTTGTGTAACCAGTTCGTCTGCCATGGGTCAAGGCTAGCCTACCGGAATGGTGGGTGTAGGGTGGTTGACTTAGAGTTCTTATTTCCAGGCCGCTACGGCACGCAGGGGCCGTGTGGGAACTCTGTGGCTGGTTATGGGATGTATACCTATGTAGCATGAAGCGGTTCTATTGCAGAAAGTGGGTTCTTGAATGTCCTCCTGTCGACATTTGATTCTGTCGATTGTAGCGGTGAAGAATCCAGACTGCGGAGGTGAGGGGTCAGGACCGAGGATGCCGCCGAGAATGGAGGAAATGGTGGAGTTGGTTGTCAAGTCCGAGTCATTACTATCACGAAATTTGGTGCCGACAGAGAGACGCGGGAAACCACCGGGACAGGCAGGTCGTTATCGCCGTCTCCGCCTGTTGGCGCCTCGTAGACTCTGACACCCTGCCCTGATATGCGTGAATCGTTGGTGTGATGGCACAACCTGCATCACGCACAGCTAGATGGCGTCGAGATGAGTCTATCCGGTGACTGGAACAGAACCTCTCGTCTAGTTCTCCGTCCGGCGTGTGCTGTTCCGGTCTCGGTGGAGGAGCGCGATGAAAAGTTGGATAGCAAGTCGAGCAGCGCCTAGAAGCCGTAGACACTCAAAACCTTGAGATACCTCCCGTCATCTGACACTCTCATGTTAGTCTCAAGTACAAAATACACTCTCCGGTAGAGGACGACTATCGCCTCAGGCAGGCGGCCAAAGCGCCCCTTCCAACCTCTCACGGCCGAAACAAGTCAACATCATCCATTCTGTCAACCTCCAAAGCATCTCTTCCTCTTCTTTGGGACAGTTTGGGCAATCCAATTACCTTTGACAACACCATCACCGACACAGATTGCATGGTGGTTACTGAAATCGGTAATGGCGAAGAATACGACCAAATCCAGTCCAACTTCGGGCCTGTGCGTCGATTCTTGACCCGGTTCGTGTTTTTGACTGCCATCATCCCTTGCCTTCTGCTTTTATGGGCTTCCAAGATCCAGGGAGAGATCCTGTTGGCTCTTGGACAGGACGGAAGCTTGGGTGGAGTCAAGCTCTATCTCGCTTGGTTTGCTTTTGCCATTGAGGGTCTCTGGTCAGGTAAGCCGATCCTTGGTGCCTAGAAAGATTTGATCAGAACACTGACTGGAAACCTACACACAGCCGACGCAATCGCTGCCTCTTTGGTCAAAGCAGCATCCTTGTTTGCTCGGTATCGGCCCAGACTTCGGTTACTGGGTGATAATGTGCCGTGCGTGGACATCATCATCCCAGTCTGCAACGAGAAGCTCGACATCATCCAAGATACCGTTCGCGCTACACTCAACATCGACTACCCTGCTCATCGGTTCAGAGTCATCGTGTCTGATGATGGCAGGAACCAAAAGCTGGAGGCTTGGGTTTTGCAGCTGGCCGCCGACACGCCCAACTTGTATTACACCGCGCGTGTCAAGTATGGGCCGGCAGGGTACAAAGCTGGCAACCTCAATCATGCAATTACTGTGTCTGACACCCTGCCTGGTGGGCGGGCTGAGCTTGTAGCTGGGTTGGATGCTGATATGATTCCTGAAAAGAGGTGGCTGAGGGCGTGTGTTGCACATCTGATCAGGGATCCCAAGATGGGAGTTGTTTGTCCTGCCCAATTGTTCTACAATGTGCCGGACAATGACCCGCTGAATCAGCAGAGTTCTATCAACTGGCTTTGTATGGACATCATCAGGGACCATGCCGGACTCGGCTGGTAAGTAATCCCTCGAAGCCTTGGGGCCCAGCGACTGACACTGGACAGGAATCTCGGATCTGGCTGGGTCGTCCGAAGAGAGGCGGTGGACGATATCGGTGGGTTTCCTACAGACTGCCTTGTCGAGGATATCTACAGCTCCATGCTGCAGATGGCAGAGGGGTGGCGTTCTGCCTATCTGGCCGAGTCGCTTCAGTATGGTCTGGTTCCCGAAACATATGCTGCTCATGTGAAGCAATTTGCTCGATGGGTACGTTCCCCTATACTTTCGTGTGGTGTCATCTGTCCTAATGATGAGAGCAGTACATCGGTGGAGCTCAGATGTTTGTCAACTTCAAGGGATATCTCTCCAGCAAACTGACCAAGCGGATGACCCTTGCTGCCAAGTTGGTCGGCTTCTCCAGCGGTATCAACGTCCACGCCAAGGCTCAGCTAGCCACGGTATTCATGTTGTTGACGCCCTTTGTGTTCTTGACTGGTACGCACCTGATGTATTGGCGAGACGAGGCGGAAATGAAGCTATTGCTTCGACTTTACTGTGCCATTGTCCTGACACGCTATCTTCATGACTGCCACATCGGTGTGATGGCTGGATACCGGGTTGCAGTCATGGAGACGGGTATGATGAGATACATGTCTCATTGTAAGTCCGCCAGACTCTTGAAAGGACCGTCGGCTAACATGACACAGATTACACTGTTGCGTGGTTCAAGACGTTTTTCCTGGGTAAGCCTGATGGATTCACCCCAACGGGGAGCATTGCCAACAGCCTCCAAGAGCGGAACCCTGCACGCCGTGCTCCTTTCCGCGAGCGGCTGCGCCATATCCTTTTCGACTGTGGTGCCTGGGTTCAACTGAGCGTCGTGCTGGCATTTGCCTCATGTGTCTCCCTCCAGGCATTCCGGGTACTCGGACCGCATTGGATGTCTGGCAACTGGGTTTTCAATAGGGACATGTGGATTGAGCTGCTCAAGACAGTAGCGTGGCCATCACATCTTTGGTTTCCGACAATGTTGGGATGCTTGACGCCGCTGAGGTACGCTCTCCGGCCGCCTAGCGTACCTGAGCGGGACAGACTTCTCGGAAAGCGGGAGGAAAACGGTGCGCGTTACCCAACGGAGGAGGCAAAGCATGTCAGGTGGTCTTTGTTCGAGGTGGACTTTGTGGTACTGTATACCCTGTTCATGGGTTATGTTGCGGCTGTTTTTGTCGGGAGTTGGTGGCTGTGATAACAGTAAAGATTAGAGAGTAATCAAAGTTCTCAATACAAAATTATGCCCTGAGTTTGTCCACCTTAGTCCTATACTCCTCCACAATTCGTGATACCTCCTCTGGCTCGAAGTCACCTGGATAGTCCTCAACGACATCTCCAAAGCGATTCTTCAGGGTCGGGTCCGCGCCATGATTGACCAAGGCTTTGAAGGCATCCAGATACCCATGGCGCATGGCTGTATGGATGGGCCGATCCCCGGAAAAACGGTTAGCCATGTTGAAATAGATTGCTCTTTTCTCATTGTCATCCAAAAGATCGGATAGTGTGTCGATGGACTCTGTTTGAATATTAGTATCGGCTGCGGACAAGAGGGAAGCGTCAACACACTTGACTGCCCAGATTTTGCAGCAATATGCGCAGCTGTCTGTTGAAAGTCGTCCTTGCAAGCAATAAGGATGTCGGCAGGCGACTCATGTTCTCGCAACGCTAGAGCTTTGACGGCTGTCACCAGTTTGGCGCATTCTCCCTGACCGGCAAGAACGGCGACGTGGTGGGCTTCTTGTGGAGAAATATGCATTTTTGTAAGGGTGAGTAACGGCAGGGACAGCGGAGTTGAAAAAGTGAATCTCGATGTTGGAGGGTGCAGTTGATAACGGTCTCGTAAGACGCCGGCTCACCGGACGTCCGTTCAACTCAAAAATCCGAAACCCGACCGAAGACACTGGTGGCCGACACTTGCAGAGAATTAGTAAGGCTGGGGCCCTTGGTGCGTGAACAGCAGAAGAAGTCAGTCACATGAGTTGCCAAAAAGGCTTTCGCCCTGTCTGTGTTCCTTCCCGTTTTGCTGAAGAGCATGGGCAAGGACTTGAGGTTTGGTGTTGCTCGCCCACCCCAGACCTACTGGAGAGGGAAGCCTACTGGAGACAGAAAGGGCCAGTTGCTGCCAGTATGCCTTCCATTTGAGTGACAAAGTGACAGAACTTTTGTTGGATGCCTGCGGTTGTCGGAAGCGCAGCAAGGAGTCCCGTACCTTCCAGCAACTGTCTCGTAGACCTCACATCATCAACCAAGAAGCGAGCCGTCCCCCGCTGCTTCCTTCCAACCAATAGAGGCAGTATTGCAATTTGCAAAAGTCCATAGTGTGATCCAAGATCTGTTTCTCTTTTGCCATCCTACAACCGTTCCAGACAACTGTTCGTGGGGTGGGTACACACTACCAAAAGCATACACAATTGAAGTAGACAACTGCCAATATCATACATGTAGCTCCTGTGCAACAAGGCCTTCTCGTCCATGGTGAGTTTCTTAACCTCGAGGCGTACACAGCATCTCCCCTTCAAAGTTTCCACACTGCAGCCCAGAGCAACAGTCGGAATCCGCGCGGCACGATGTCAAGACGTTGTGGCATGCCTGTCAATGACTGTTAGTCTTTGAATTCCTCTTATAGCATCGATGGAAAATGGTTTCTTACTGCTTGGCCGTAGAAGTCGGTGATCTTGTATTGGGTTGGCGGCAACGCTGACTCAGACTCCTTCGATGTATCTCGTCGCCGGGGAGTAGATGAGGTCTTGAGAGGAACTGGAATGACCAACGCAGCAACCATTTGCAGGCTGAGCAGGAAGAAGATGATGGTCTGGATGAAGGCTCGCATTTTGAAGTATTTTGTCTTTGCTGGATGGTTTTCAACGATGGTAACGGCGCTGCCGGTGCTAATCAGGCCTGCCTGGATAGAATGAATGAATCAAGCAACCCCTAAGAGAAACGATGCCAGTAAAAGAAAATGATTTCAAGCAGAAGAAAAAACCGCGTGGTGAAAGGGGACACTGCAGGCCCCAAGCTGCAGGTATTCACAAGCACAGCAGGAAATGAACGAAAACAACAAACCAAAAAACCGACCAGCAAACGCCCAACACCCACGACCAGGGAAGGATGCCTTTTGTATTTATTTATCAATGCATGTTCATCTCAAATGGTCCCGCCTTGCAAGTATCCATATTCCCCCCAAGAAAAGCTGAAACGGCATTCCCTGCCAAGGCTGTTCCTCTCCCTGGTAAACCGACCAAACACGATGCCGCAAACGACTCCTCTTGTCATGCTGGAAGAATGGTTCTGCGGGGTGTTCCCCAGTCTCAAACTGCCGCTGCGGAGTTGGTGATCGGGCTGTGTTGCCTTTCCAGTATAAGATGGCAGTGCTATGAGTTGCTATCTTGCAGCCTGTAGAAATCAGTGGTACGCTGTTAGTGTCCGATAGCGCCCACTGTCTCGGATAGGCGCACCGCAGGGAATAGCCCCGTTTCGAATTGACACCACCCCCAAAATGTAACCTGGATGTTGGCGTGCAAACGAAAAATGAAAGGTAGAAAAAGGCAAATCGCATGAATACGATCGGCTTGATCGTCCGATCGACGCGCTTGTTTGTGTCCAGTCAGCAGGCTGTATTATCGGCAGTGGACACAATTCATCTTTTGGGGGCAGCACGGCAGGTCAAACAAACCCCCACAGAGGTTGACTTTCCTCCGTCTATTGGTGTGACTTGTTCCAAATAGTTGCATGTCATCATGATAGGAGCCATCCACGCCCTGGAAAAAAATACCAGTAAGTCAGTGAAACGTATGATGACCGTCAACTTTTCCCTTTCTAATTGGAAGCAGGTCTTCTAAGTGTCTCCCGAGGCCTGTTGACCATCTTTCGAGGCCTATTGACCATTTTTTGAGGCCTACCAACTATCTTTTGAGACCTTTAACCACCTTATCTTTCAAGTGTTATTAATTACCTTATCTTTTAAGATGTGGTTAAGGACGATATGTAGTGTAAAATTCAATTTATATGCAGTGCCATCTTCCTATCTACCTAGGCGGGGCAGGTATACATAATGTGCTGTCCAGCAGTTCATTCATAACATCCAGTCATATCACATCTATACGTCCCTCATCCATTCCCGGCCCCTCGGTCTATACCAACCCCTCCCTCCGGCCGACGACTCTGCACTCGTTCTCGTCCCGGACAAGAAACTCTTCCTCTCCGCGTCAGGAACCTCATCCACAATCCATCTTATCCCACCCTCCGGCTCTTGCCTCCACCCATACGCATACACTTTGCCCATTTGGACAATCGCCTTGTTCCTCTCCTTGGTCTTCATCTCTTCCAACCCATAAAAGTCTCTCACCATGCTCGTGCCAGCGACGTATGTCATCACCGCAGCAATTGTATCCGGCTGGCGGGGCAAGTGAGGCAGCTTTCTGCGCCAGATAATCACCAGTGCCAACTGCACTAGCATGACGCAGAGGATGATGGTACTAGCGATGCCGCAAAACAAGAACTCGGATCGAAGCTGACCCGGTCGATAAGGCAGGCCAGCGAGGGCGATGATGAGAAACTCTGCGATGATCCCGGTGAATGCCACTGACGCTGCAGCGAGATGTCTGTTGCGTAGGAGGGGAATGAAAGCGCAGATGGGGCTGCTGTGGCGGTTTAGGAGAATGGTTGGGTTTGGCCGTGCTTCTCCGTCTCTCAGGGGAAAATAGGGGCTGAAGGTTTGGGTATCTTTTCGTGTGCTGTTAGCTGCTTGTCCGGTTCTAAAAGACAGAGGGAACAAAAGGGAACAAGGGAAAAATGGAAGAAAAAAGAGAAGGAAAAAGAGAACAAGATATCAACTCACCCTGAAACAACCTCCCCCAATTCGACGAGATCAGCACCCCCAAAAGCGCAAACAAAATCTTCATCCCAACTCCACTAGCAACAGCCGTCGGCAAAAACACCTTTTGCGGCTGCTCAATATTCGCCAACGAAGCCAGCGTTAGCCCAAGCAGAGCCACCAGCAACAGTCCGAAAACAACATCAAGAAACAGCCTATTCAGCTTCCAATTCCTAAAAAACATCGCCTTGTTGAACCCCGACCGGACGGTGTCCCTCGTCCTCGCCCACCACCCCCTCTGGCTCCTATCCTTCCTCTCATACAAAGCCACAGGCATAATCCCATACTTTGTGACCCCATCCTCGGTGGTAAAAGTCCCGAGCTTGAATTCCTGCCCCTTGAGGGCATGCAGCAGTTCCTGTTGTGTGATCTCCCCGCCAAAAGACGAAAACTGCTGTTCAATCTGTGGATGGCCCATTACGGCTGCCACGCCGGCAATGGTAGTAGGGTCAGCCGAGAGGCGCCCTGGCTTTTGGAACCACTTGCTCATCGTGTAGGCTACCACCCCGGCTTGGATCACCAGAATGGTAATGATGATGTCGAGAACCCATGGATTTCCGGTGATTTTGGGAGGACAGGGGTTGATGTTGGTGGGAGATGCGAGGTCGTTGCAGTAGTTGGTATCGACGTATGTCCCACCGGCTACGAAGATGGTGCCGATTTGAGCTACAAAGAGACCAAACTCTGAAGCTCCGATCGGGGGACTGACAAGTTCTGTGGCAGAGATGCCCCCGCTTGTGAGCTGCCTGACTGGGTCATGGGTGATGACCTGTTGGTAGAAGGCACCCATCATGAGCATGAAACCTCGCCCTACGATCAGAGGGGCATGGTTTCCAGTGAGGGACTCTGTGATCTTCCAATATGGCCATGACATGAGGGCTGGGGCGCCTGTATCTGGGCTTGGTGATGATGTTGCTGTGGTTTCACCTGGACCAACGGTTGCTGAGCCGGTCGCTGTTTGACCTGTTTGGGCTATCGGTGTGGCTTCTTCAGTTGAAGCCCCAGAAGATTTCTGAGCAGAGGAGAAAGATGAAAAATGGGTTGTGTCGGGGCTAGACAGCGTGGAGGACAAAATCCTGGATGGATTGGTCTCAGAAGATGATACGACGGACGAGATTGACCCCGTGACAATTGTCGATTCTTGGGAAGAAGTTGACTTGGCAGCTTCCTCAGTCTCCGTATTTGTTGTCAGAATTGACGTCACCGAACTCGAGCTAGAACCAGTCACAGTCAATGCTGTGGAATCGGGCTCCGGTTGAGACGATACTTGGGCAATAACAAATGGGTCCGAGTTTGTCTCTGTCGCTGCTTCAGTCCCCCAAAACGTTGCTGTGTTTATAGGATCCGTGGTCTGCACATTCCGCGTCGAAGTTCCACCTGAAGCTGAAGAGATTAAGCTGGTCGACTCCGTGTTTGTCGTCTCGGTCTGGAGGCTAGTGCTTACTCCGGGAATCCGCACATTTGTTAAGGTTGTTGAGCCTGGATTGGATTCGGCATTTGAAGACACAACCGATGACGGAGTCAATGGGGTATTTGTCGAAATCGTTATCGGAGTGGTTGTTACTGACATTGCAGAGGGTGTTGTTGTCAAAGTATTGGTCGCAGAAGTCGATGGAATAACCGCTGTGATGGCTGCTGAGGAGGCCGTTGGACTAGTAGTTGGAGTAATAGTTGAGGTAGTTGTTGGAGCAGTTGTTGGAGCAGTTGTTAGAGTGGTGATAAGAGGGTTTCTTGAGGTGGATATAGAGATAGCTGTTGGGATGGATGCAAAGGTGACTGTTGAGGTAGTCAAAGGCGGAATTATAACAGTAGTTGGAGACTCTATCTCAGAGGTTGGTAGTGTTTCGGGAAGATCTGTAGTACTGACTTCGGCGGACGTTGACTGCTCTGATGAAGAGGCGGATGTAGTTTCCTCCGTACCCGGGGTGGAGGTACTCAAGTTAATAGAAGTGAAGGATGGCGAGATGGTAATTGTTGTTGCATTTTCTGAAGTGGTTGAAGTCTGCAAGCTTGTGGAAGGAGTGGTAGTAGTTGTTGAGGTGGAGATGCATTCTTCCAAAGTTGAAAAAGACGTCATACAGTCAATCCTGTCAGCCCTTCTCAGACCCCTTGCAAGAATAATTGGTATGGTTGTACAGGTTACCGAAGTTGCCATGCATGTATCGACAATGGGCGGTGCAGTGACGGTTGACGTAACTATCGGCGTGGTGGTTATCACAGTTTCGGTCGAGGTGGAAGGGCAATCTGAAAGTGTCAAGGTAAACGTGAGGCATTTACCCTCGATGCGGTCCTGACAGTCCATCCATGTCGTAGCGCAGGGATCAACAACGGTTGGCATAGTGGATATATCTTCCACTGTTGTTGTTGTTGTCGTTGTCGATGTTGATATTGTGGACGAGAAGACTGTTGAGCTGGTGGAGATCGTCATCGATGTGGGTGGCCGTGTTGTTGGAGGCGTTATTGTCGAGGTCTCTGTAGGGGACTCTGTTGGGGTTGTCGTTACAGTTGTTGTTGGCCTGGTGGATGTGGTGAAAGGCACGTATCTAGTCGTGCAGTCAACCTCCTCGCCGCGCTTGAGCTTATCTGGGATAACATAGGTAGTACAATCTACCACAGGAGAGCCGGATGGAAGTCTAAAAGTAAATATTCTCGTCGGCCTCAGAGTGAAGAGCGGCCCCTTTGTTGTCAAAGTTACGGTCGGTGTCCGAGTAATTGTGAAATAGCTTGTCGAGCAGTATGTGTGCCAATATCCCTGTCGTTTGACTTGACGCGCTGGAACCATGACCGTTGTGCAGTCTACAGTGCTTGAAATGATCGGGAAGTCTCCGGGCAGTATTGGCGGTCCAGCCGTGAAGACTGGCGCTAGGGTAAACAAGTTTCTCTGGCGTTCAATTATTGTTGCTCCCGCCGCTCCCCCTCCTCGCGCTTGCAGTGTGGATGAGCTGGCATAGCTTGGCTTTGAACCGTCCGGGAGAGTCTTTCTCAGATAGATGACAACGCCAACAAGCCCCAATGTCATCACCAAAGTTGTAGCCATTCCAAAAACTCTCGACAAGAAGGGCCTTGATGTTGGATTCCCATTTTCTGGGGTATCCTGTTAGCAAGTGCTGTGTATCTTGGAGCCTACCGCAGAACATACTGGAGAGTTTGATATTTCTGCTCTTCTTTTTCTTCAAAGGTCGATCTTCTGAGAGGGACGCCATTGTTCCAGTTCATGACAAGACAACACACGAGCAGGGTTGCAACAAACTAATGAGTGAAGAAAAGAAAAGGAAAACGGACGTGAAGGGTAAAGGTTAAAAAGGAATCGACTCAGACTCCCATTGTTGACCAACTGCGTCGCCATGATAAACTTTTGGCAAATAGACAGACTTTAAGGATGCCTGGTACAGAGCGGAAGAACCCGTCGCTGGAAAAGGACGCCGTCGATGGCAGTGCTGTGGTTTACCTTTGCATGCCTACCAGCAGGGAGCGCATCTCTCTCGGGATAAGAACGTGGATGCATGCGGCTGAAGGTACCCCGAAGAAACCCTGACCATCCAGAGGTCTAGAACGCGCTTCCCAAGAACCAGACGTGCAGCACTCACTTGACCTTGTGTCACCTGGACGGCCAATTGTCTTGCGTACCTGACTGTCCAGGTCTCCCACATCGACAATTCCAGGGCTTGGAGGTGAAGTGGTGGTACACTGCCACCCCGTTGGGAAAGCGCTGCGAGGCGCTTGATTGAAGCAGAGAACGAGCGGTCCTTTCAGCCCTATAAAAGAGCGGTTTGTGATTGGAGAGTAATGAAACTTACAGCAGAGAGGCCCCCTTCTTGTGATTACTGCATTTACTCTCGGATAAAAAGGACGGTGACAGTTATCTCTTTGAAATGATGGGTTTCCAAAGATAATCGATTACCCTAACTACCATGTATAACATAGCACTACCTGATTAAGCCCTTGAAAATGATTGATGAGGCTTTCAAAATACCTTAGTTTATAGGCCCTTGGAGACAGTTGGTAGACGTTCAAAGATCGCGGATAGACGCTGAATGATAGTTGATGTATGTTTTGAAGATATGGTAGATGGGAGACGTTTTAAACATATTAACTTTTAAACGTGGGGAACATGGCGCGTTGTAAAAAAAATAAAAAAAAATGGGGTTGGATATCCTTCTCTAGCTTTGCTCCCTATGACTGCTCTTTTATGCCTTTTGGCATTTTTTTTGTCAAGACTCCGTGGGTAAGCAGACAGTGACCGGTTTCAATCATGGACCGCAGCGACACAGCTTCAGCTCCAGCTTCAACAGCATGCCACCATGAACAAGCTGCTACAAAACCCAATGACTGCTATTGTGGTTCCAATTTCCTCGCTACCATTGTGCATTTCTCGACTCCCGGCTCCATATCCTCTAGTGGTGCAGCCCTACAGAAACAGGACTGTCATTCCTGAAGGACTCCCATTCAAAATACACCTGGATAGCCCCCTCGATGCTTTGCACAAGTCCGAAAAAGACAGTTGTCACAAACACCAAGATAGCAACCCAGAAAGTATACCATTGGACCAAGTTCCTCCGGTTATTCCACCATCTCTTCATTCCTCTTGGACTTGAGTCATCGTAGACCTACTTCAAAATCACAAGTCTGTCATGCCAGAATGAAAAGCGTTCGTCTTTATGCGCACGTAGACTGCCACAGGTTGCCAAACACAGGGGTCTGGTTGGTGACGCCCAATCTGCTTATGTGTCCAGGCACATGACTTTTTGTTGGTTCTGCGGGAGTGTAAGGACCAAGGTCCGCAAGGCTCATCAACAAACCCGTTTGGGAAGAGTCGAGTGTCACAACTGGAAGATAGCAATAAGCAGGGAAGGTAGTCACAATGAGACTCAAAATATACCATGATTCTTTCGGCGTTATATTGGATACACGGTTGCCAGAGTTTGCCCTTGATGAATCGCTTGATTTCAAAGGGAACGAGGTACTACGCAAGTGGTATGTCCATTTTTCGATGGCAATGAGAAGCATAAAGAAAACAATCAGCGTTTAGGATTTTACATGTAGTAAACACCGACTTACAGCATCCGCCCACATCAGTAAATGGGGTGCGTTATCAATTATGTAGGTAGTTGGCATCCGAGGCAGCTACCTGCTTCACCGAAAAGTATTGAGAGCTGCGGCAACATTTTCAAAATTTCCTATCCTATCATTTGACAACAGATTCTTAAAGGAGGCTCGTAGGGTCTTCAATCGGATGATAACTACAGTTCCAGCTTTTGAGGGATTCAAGCGGTGATCGTACTCGTTTTTTTCCGCCCGGCTCCGTGCTGCATTCCTACCTAGGTACCTTCCTTATCTTCTTCATGGTTCATCTATAGACCCGGTATCCTTCGGCACCAGACAGCAGTATGAGAAGGTAAAGTCCAAAAGGCTGCCTACTTGTGCGTCCACTCTGTAAAGATCCAACCAGGAAGCTACCAGGGTATTTATATCGCGGTTAAGGCTGACCAACTGATTTGGCGCTACCAAAGGTTGTCGCGGCTCAGACACCTAAACGGCGGTATTTTTCCAGCAGCAGTACTCCTAACGATTGCCAATAGTATGGGCAGCTGCACCAACGTGATAGCATCTCCAGAGCCTGAGTACTCGTGTTATTCGCAGTCCCAGGAGTGAAAGAAACTATGGTGCCACACTCCGGAATGCAGCGTCTTTGGAATCCTCAAGGGTTGAATTCTGAGCGCGAGAGCTCGTTTTTCAGCCCAAACCGTTGTCTTGTTTGACCCCTATAGAGAGGGATACAAACCGGGAATTTGGTGATTAGGGTGTCAAAATGTCAACCTCCACCGGACTACGAAATCGATCAGTAGGAAGTAGATGCTGTATCGAATGATCTAGGCGTGCAACGTAACATAGGTAGCAAGTTGCAGGCACTTTCACAGCATCACATGCACTTCCATCTTATACCCGAATTTGGATGTCTCATGTTTGACGGTCGGCAGACAGGAGTCGGAGAAGTTCAAGCAGCTTCTCTGTCCCGGGCTGTAGGAAGGGTTCTGTAAACAAGTCTGAAGTCATTCGAGACTTCTGCTTGAAATGGAAAGGAGCTCCCAATTTCTATAAAAGAGGCCTCTACGACCACGATCTTGAACCTTCCCCAGACCATCACCCTATAAGAACCCCCAACACCTTTGAACTCAGCTCTCGACAGTCCAGATTCATCGTCACCAGGAAAACAAGTTTGTAGGTTCTGCCTAGCTTACCTCCTCCTTGCCGGCACTGAAAAATCTCTGTTTATATCTCGCCTGATCTTCTCTTTCTGGCCCTCCACTAACCACTCTCACTTCAACAGTCTTCAAGATGATTATCCCCCGCTTCCCCGCTCTCACAGCCCTTTTGCCGCACCTACAACACCCATTTCTGCCGTCGCAGCTGACTCCACCCTAGAGAACAGAGTCTGGCTCAGCAACGTGGACGTCCGGGAAGCCTGACAGCAGCAGTACGGCGACGGCGCCCAGGCCCGCGTGGGGTGGGAGGAGGCATGCAACACTTGGTCGTGTGTTTTCAGAGGAGAAAATTACTTCGTCAACATGGACCAGTACTGCGTCAGGAGGTTCCCCGACAGGGTCAATGTGTGCGCCTCGTGCCACAGGAGGGCGTATGATTGGCAGTGTCATGATCGGACTTGGGGGGAGAATGCGGGCCGGAAAAGCTACCTTGTATCGCTCTTCGCTGTATCACGGTCTTGAAAGGAAGCCTCGTTGGAGCCACCCAGATGTCCTTCACCCCATGTATTTCATCCGCCTTTATGGACCTCTTTCCTTCCTGGACAGACCTTGAAAGATACCTAGTAAACGTTCCATGCTCACATCAACCTAAACGAGCTTGGTCTTCTTCCCAGGCTCCAACCACAAAACCTCCTTGTCCAACCCCTCGGCCTTGAACGCCTGCGCCAAATCTTCCCGCTGCTCCTTGAAGTGATCCCAACTCTCAAAGTGCATGGGGACCAGCACGTCAGCTCCCAGCTCTCGGAACAGCTTTACTGCCTGCGCGCCGTCCATGGTGATTACAAGGGGGCCCGTGGGGAGAGGGGCTGTTGCTTTGCCTAGGTTGAGCAAGGCGACGGAGATGTCTGGAGGGTTGTTAGATATTGGTTGGTTTTTTGGTGATGAAAGAAGAAACGGCTGCTGTGGTAATGTGGTAATGTGGTGATGTGAAGGAGGTGAAGGAACATGAAACATACGGTACTTCTCCTTCATCTTTGCCAGCTCAGGGATGTAAATTGTGTCCCCAGAGAAGAATATCGCGTTTGGCTTGCCATCAGTCTTTCCAAACGATTCCGTTGTCAGGATGAAGCCAGTGACCTCACCACCAGGAAGGTGGACGCAAGGGGTTCCAGTAACCTCAAAAGTCTGTCCCTGGAGCTTGATAGAAACAGTCTCCCTGATTATTCGATATCAGCTTCTGTAGCTATCTCTGAGAGGAAAAACAAAAACCAACCAAGGCTGCAAAGCTTTGACACCAGGCCGAGGAGCAAGGTTCTTTGCTCCGTCAGGGGTGGTGAGCACGATGCGGCCTTCGAGAAGACGGCGGCCAGGCTCGTCAAGATTGTCGACATGGTCCTCGTGGCTCAGGAGAACAGCATCGATAGGAGGGAGATTGGCAAGGCCTAGAGCCGGTTCAATGGATGCCTTGAGGACAAGGAGACCCATATCGAATTCAAATGGGGCATGAGAGAAGAAGGGGTCGGTGATGAGTGTGACAGGGTTGCTATCGTCCCCAAGATGAATGAGGGCAGTCGCAGTGCCGATGTGGGTGAGGCTCAGAGGGGCCGAGAGTTTGATCGAGGAGGTCATGATTGAGAGGTTCACAAGTGTGTAAGTCAAATGCAGAGGTTCAGGAGTGACAGGCGCCTGGCGATTGAAGGGACGGAATGGTTTGTCGAGATAAATTCTGGAGAAATTTCATTGTCTTATATACACGAGTTCCCTATGACGAAGAGCAACGCTCTCCATTCGAACCCCCCAGATCTCTGCGGTTCATCGCAAGGGCCTGATGTCGATGCACTCAGGATAAGCTTTACAGGGGAGGTTGCTAACCCCCGCTTTGTGATCCATGGCGCAGGTCTTGGCGATTAATGACTCCCGATTCGGCTTAGCGCAGGAGAGATGGCAACGACAAACTTCAATCCCACGGGGAAATGCGAGAGATGTACAAATCCAGATCATGACGCCGAGGGGTATACCCAGACTTGGGGAGTTGGAGTACATAAAGTATGGAGCCCCGCGACCCTCACATCTGATGTTGCTATTCCCTTCCTGGAAACATAACCCGCCAAGCCTTGAACATCACTCGCTGTGTCAGCACCCAGGATGAAGATTCGACAGAGGACGACATGTCAAATCTGCAGGCAGAAGAAGATCAGTGTACGGGATCCGATCATACCTACCTTCCACATTGCTGACGAGGCGCGTTTAGTGTGACGGGAGAAAGCCTTCATGCGGCCAATGTCTCCTCCGCAACATCACCTGCCCCGGATATCCACCGGATTGGATATTCATCTCTCAGTTCGCTCCATCTAACATTCAGACAAAGCCGATACTTGCTAGAGTGGCTGGTCACCCTGGCGTAACCAAGCATCCCCCCTCTCAGCTCCCAGGCATACTCTTGAACCGGAAAACGCATGAGCCGAATGGGAGTCTCAGGTCGCTTTACCACGAAGACCTACCGCTTGACAAGCTGATAGAAATCATCATCCAGGGATATGTTCCAGGTACTGATGTTGCGGCGATTCAAAGAGGCGCCAGTGCGTCTACTCCTCGAATATGCGGTACGTATAGCTTGAGGCTTCAAAAGTCAAGGGGCTCGATTTCCCCCTTCAAAGTGTCTGCTCTCAGGGCGTCATGGAAAGACAAGGGCTAATTGACTCGTAAAGGGGCGTGGGCAGAAGTACTACCAGATCTCGTCAAAGCTGGTAACAACACAGCTTTGAATGCCGCCATCAAAGCCTTTGCTTTCTCCATACTGGTGTGCGAGACGCAACGCAAGATCCCCATGGCGACGGCGCTTGAAGCATATAGCGTAGCGCTACGATCCGTCAACGACTCGCTCAAGATCCCCAACAAGTCATCGTTGGTTCAGCTAATGGCTGCTGTAATGTGCTTGCTCTTTGCTGAGCTTGTGTTGCCAACAAGCCTTGAAAGCTGGACCGCTCATTTAGAGGGACTTGGGGAGTTGATGCAGACGCGAGAGCCACAGTTCTACGCATCAGGCATCGCCCACAGGCTATTTGTCGGGGCAAGACCGGCATTGGTAAGCATCAAAGATCTTCCGTCTTGTTCGATGTGTGTCTCGGTCGATGTGTAGCTGACCGATGTCGATGTTGTTAAGATTGTACTGAAGATCCAGTCGAGAAAGGCATCTTTCCTTGCCTCAGAAGAGTGGCAAACAGCTCCTTTCCAAGAGATCATTCCTTCGCCAATGCAAGCATTGATGAACGAAGCAACTGCTATTCCGGGCATCATCGAAAGAATGAGCCAGGAGGCTGGAATCACGACTGCTGACAGGCTATTGACGGAGCTCGAAGCATTGCTTGACCGACTTGCGCTGTGGGAAACAAGCTTCCAGGCCACTCCTGAGGCCCCTCGTTTCTGGTATGATGGAGACTGCATCTGGTTTGACAGCCTCACAACAGCTAACGGCCTGACGCATTGCTGGGCGTTCAATGTGATTTGCTTGACATGTGTCGGGAAGATTGTGGGCTTATTTCCAGACCTGCGTCCCTTTGCTCATATATCGCGAGGGATGGTCTCTCAAGAAACCAGGCGGATGTCGATGCTCATATGCCGGAGCACCAAGTATTTGATGCAAGACAAGATGAAGCTCTTTGGGCCAACATCTATTGTCCTCCCCCTCCAAACGGCGTATGACACCCTGAAGGCTGGAGGCGCCGAAACGGAGAGGGATTTCGCTTGCTGCAAAGAGATACTTGAGTCAGCTCTTGGAGAAAAGCACTTTTTATCTCTCTTTTTCAAAGGAGACGTGTAACAGAATACGGAGCAGAGGGTTATGACAGTAATTGAACCATGTACTTTCGCGAGACAATTGGGGATGGTTGGTGACTTCATCAGATGGATCGGAAATATTGCCGGCTTCCTATTGGCTGAATGTCACATCAGCCTCAACTACCCTTGTCGCACCAGCCACAGCTCGCCCCGTACGGCTAGCAACTTGGGCGGCAGACCCACTCTGGCAAGGCAACAAGAGCTACGAATAAGCTCCCAGAGTGGCACACGCATCGCAACTGGAGCTGGAAAGCCGCTATTCAACCCCAGCCTGACAACCACGATTCCTTCAACAACGTCCTTTCTTTCACCGAAAAATCCAAATCACAAACACCGCTGCGACTTTAAACATCAAGCCACAAGATCCAGCCCTTCACAACCATCGAAACAGCCACCGTATCCACGCCGCCATCATGTCGGACCAGGAGCGCGAGCATGCTCTCGCCAGCTTCAAGAAGAAGTTGATTGAGTCGCGAGAGTGGGAAACCAAGCTCAAGAACCTCCGGCTCGAAATCAAGGGTCTTCAGAAGGACTTTGACAACACAGAGGATCACATCAAGGCGTTACAAAGTGTCGGGCAGATTATTGGCGAGGTACTGAAGCAGCTTGACGAAGAGAGGTGTATGTTTTTCGTCCTCCGGTTCATTTCCCTCTGCTCATGGTTATTTGACTTCCCGCAACCACACCGCTAACATTCCAACCTCTTGCAGTTATTGTTAAGGCCTCGTCAGGTCCTCGTTACGTCGTCGGTTGCCGCTCCAAGGTCGACAAAGCGAAGCTCAAGCAAGGAACCCGTGTGGCGCTTGATATGACGACACTCACCATCATGCGCATGCTTCCCCGCGAGGTCGACCCCCTCGTCTACAACATGTCTTTGGAAGATCCGGGCCAGGTCAGCTTCGGCGGAATTGGTGGTCTCAACGACCAGATTCGCGAGCTCAGAGAAGTCATTGAGCTTCCGCTCAAGAACCCAGAGTTGTTCCTGCGAGTAGGCATCAAGCCACCCAAAGGCGTGCTTCTGTACGGTCCACCAGGTACCGGCAAGACCTTACTTGCCAGAGCAGTTGCTAGCAGTCTGGAGACGAATTTTCTAAAGGGTAGGTGATCGGCATGCTCCATTCTGGACGACAAGTTTACTAACACGCAATCACCTCCACAGTCGTTGCATCAGCTATCGTCGACAAATACATTGGCGAGTCTGCCAGGTTGATCCGCGAAATGTTCGGATACGCAAAGGAGCACGAACCCTGCATCATCTTCATGGACGAAATCGACGCCATCGGTGGCCGCCGGTTCAGCGAAGGTACTAGTGCCGATCGTGAAATCCAGCGGACGTTGATGGAGCTGCTCAACCAGCTCGACGGTTTCGACTATCTCGGGAAAACCAAGATCATCATGGCCACGAACCGACCTGACACACTCGACCCTGCGCTGCTACGTGCCGGGCGTCTAGACCGCAAGATTGAGATTCCCCTCCCCAATGAGGTTGGACGTCTGGAGATTCTCAAGATTCACGCCGCGGGCGTGGCCAAGGAAGGGGAGATTGACTTTGAGAGCGTGGTGAAGATGAGCGATGGGCTGAACGGTGCCGATTTGCGAAACGTGGTTACCGAGGCGTAAGTCTACCAACAGGAACAAATACTGGAAGACTACCATGCTGACCTTCTCTTCCTAGCGGCCTCTTCGCCATCAAGGCCGACAGAGATGCGATTAATCAGGATGACTTCAACAAGGCAGTTCGCAAGGTGGCTGAGTCGAAGAAGCTGGAGGGCAAGCTTGAGTACCAGAAGTTGTAGAGACGGTTTGGTGTTGGTGATGAGCGAAAGGGGGTTAGATAATGACGAATCACATTACAGGAAGACGCGGATAGAGCGCATGAATTCATGCCAAGCGTTTTGAGCACACTGAAACTACTTTTACTGTAATACCATGCACCGATAGCGAAGATATTATGATGACGATGTATTTGGAATTGTTTCCAGTGACCAATCACATCTTGTGTTTACTCTTGTTGGTTGTTGGTACCCTTCGCGCTCCTCGTGTCCTGGATGGAAGCCTATGAGAAGCCTTGATGCAGGTATGGCATATAACACCTTCAGAGCAAGCAACGGAGACGCCTTTGGAGATAACAGTATGCAGAGTCTGGCGCGTTGGAAGTCCGATTCGTCAAAAGAGCATGCCGTATAAGGCTGATAAGGCTGAAGGATTTCGCATTCATTGGATCCGGTCGGTTCACCTCGGTCTCAGAGAACAGACAGTTGCTCGCATCATTCTTTCTGCAGGAAGCGCTCTTGTTGACATGCATTTGCATGGGAAGGATTCTGAACAGAAGGTCTTGACAGGACAGGAGGTGTGTTGGTTGACGGTCAATGAAAGGACATCGAAAGGACCAACGGACCACGTTGATGTCAAGACATCTTTTTTGGTCGGTGACCCTGTCTCCTATTTTCCATCAGCATTGTTCTCAACAACCAACGCATTCGGTTGTCCCGTGCTCCGTATGTTCGGAAGGAATTCCGAGGCCCGTGTCCGAGCCGAAGCGACAAGGCATCCGACTGCTCATCATCATCATATCACTGACAGTGGCCCGTGACGATATCGCATATATAAACATAGAAAAAGGGGGCAATTGTTTCCTCGTATTGCGTATGGGCGGCCCATTTGCATCGTAGCACTTTTTTGCATCTGGTTCCCTCTCTTCTCTCTTCCCCCCTCCACCCCCACCAAGCCGTTTGTCGTTACGATACCGTCCACAGGGGACAAGATGATCGTGTCCGGCAGTTGGAAGGTTTAAGCCCCACGCCAGGGACCCAGCAAGATTAGGTATTTCTAAGAATAGAAATCGCAAAGCCCAGGGGGGGGGCGCCTGTGGGAGAGAGAAGAGACCCATCCCTTTGTTCCAACAAACCAGGGTGTGAAAACCAGTTCACAGCCTCAAAAAGCGGGCCACGCGATCTCACCTCTTTTGGCCCCCCTTTTTTTGATGCGGTTTCTGCTTGTTTTGATTGATGATAGTTATTCCATTCCCGGTAATCAGTGCCGGACCTGGGAGGCGATCATCTTGGAAGCTTCTTGGTTGGAAGGGTTGCATTCAGAACCATTCTCTGGTCTTTCTAGGCGGTTCCTGGCCTAGCGTAGCCGGATGCCATGTCCATGGACAATTGGCGGAGAACCTGGAAACAGACGTCATGTTCACAGGCACAGCGATAGGGCAGATGAACGAGGGGGTTTGGTAGGACAACACCCAACTACTGTGCACAGGGACGCAGCTAGAGAATTGGGGGACCGCTAGAGCCACGAGATTGTATGTTGTGTTATATTTCTGCCTCGAAGCACCAGAGGTTATATCCACTCGCCCACGGGGAAACAGCTTGGCCCGTCGTGATACGAAGATGCTCCACTGTTGCCATTGAGGGACCCTGGAGCAAATTGTATACCGATCCGAGTGGCTGCCCCTTCCGGATTGTCGGCGCTGGGCACGAAGAACAGACGATACGTGTATTGCTGGGCAGAGGGTCGGAGTGTCTCCTGTCGGAACTGTAATGACACATCGTTGCTCTATTTGAGGGGCCCGAAGCCGTTATGTCAGGATTCGGGTGGCGGTGAGACGACAAGCTCAAGCAGCAGCGTTCTTGGCGCCGAAAAGCGAGCGTACAACGATGGCAGGTTGCCGAGAAACAACAAGTTGAGAGGGTCGACTGCCGAGACAAGACCAGTTGACTCGCAAAAGGGCGTTAAGAGCAACCGCCTCGATCTGACGGGACGAGCTACTGTTGAGGCTAGATAGCACCACGTAACTGACAAAAGCCAAAGTGTTGGACCGACAAGCGGCAAGCTGACTAGCAAGCGGTGCTGTGGTGATCGGAGTTGAAGATGAGCGATGAGCTGACAAGAGTATGCAGCCCGCTGGCGGCTCCTCATCTTCTCCAATGGGAAGGCTGTTGCTTTCCTTCCTGTCCAACTCTGAGACCGTCTCGGAGAACAAGTTGCATTGGAATGATGTCGTTGCTTTTGGTCACCCCTTCCTCTTGTAAAAGTTGAGGCACCCGTGAGACATCCGGAACTTAGTCCAAGTGTTGTAAAAGATTACGAGCGACGCAAACAAACGCCTGGTTTGTTTTGATATCAGACGGCGAGGAGCAGAGCAGGCAGTTGGGGGGGTGTGCGCGGGGGATGAGGCCTTGTGGTCAGGACTCAGGGTGCCACCGAGACGCCTCCGTCGGTAGGAGCTCTTGGATCCCCTGTTGACAGCGGCGCTGTCAGCGAACAAGAAACCTGAAGTGCAACACATAGTGCCTCTTTCTGCAGTGTGTCGATCGGGATTTCAGGGCGGGCGAATTGGATAAAGCGAGGGTGTTAGGAAGGGCCGGGTAACTGCGCTTCCAGGTGGTATTCCATTATTCCAAAGAAAGCAAAAGAGGTGAACACGACGGGCTAAGGTCAAACGAGAGGTGGGCAGTGACGACGGTGGTCAATGGCAGATGCTGCGCCCAGCACAACCCCTGTTCCCAGTCGACTCCGGCCGCTAGCTGCCCCACTCCAAACACCCTGCAGCATTCCTCGCGCCAGTTCGGTGCCAGAGGGCCAGCCATAAAGTCAAGCTCCCCAGAGGCTGCAGATACAGGTGGCCTTCCTGACTCCATTCCCCTTCCCATCATCAACTCGACTCACCTGTTCTTGCTTTTAGCTTTGGAGGCTTGTGAAAGCACCATCCCGTGATACCCACTCGCTCACCCCGCGCATTCTCATCTTCGCAATTTCCGGTTTTTACTTTCGATCCCCTCGTTTTGCTGGCAGTCGGTGACAATGTGGTACGCAGCCTCCTTCCCGAAGCCAGCCCCGCCCCTATCTTACCATACACTGACTCCGGACTCGCAGTGGCATTTTCGGTTACGTGAATTACTTGGTGGAAAAGGACAGGAAGTTTATCATTGACACACTCATCAACGGTATGTGTCTCTGGTCATTCGTTTGGTTGGGCGGGAATACGACGCCGCTGCTTCCCCCACCTCGGCGTTTCACCCAGAAACAGCAACGAGGCACAACAAACAGGATTCAACGGATCCGTCAGAGAGTGGGCTGTGGCTGATCTAGACTTGTTGCGCCAATGCAGGACTTTCCCGTCTCGAGTACAGAGGGTACGACTCGGCCGGTTTTGCCGTCGATGGCGACAAGAAGAAGGAAGTCCTTGCCTTCAAGGAGGTAGGCAAGGTCGCCAAGCTGAGGCAGCTTGTTGATGAGAGCAAGCCCGACCTCTCCAAGGTCTTCGACTCCCACGTCGGTATCGCACACACTCGCTGGGCCACCCACGGTCCCCCCTCCCGTCTCAACTGCCACCCCCACAGGTACGTCCATTGCAACCCCTCCACCTTGACTTGACCCCGACCTGACCATTTGATCGTCTTCAGGTCCGACCCCACATGGGAGTTTTCCATCGTCCACAACGGCATCATCACCAACTACAAGGAGCTCAAGACTCTCCTTGAGGCCAAGGGTTTCAGGTTTGAGACCGAGACGGACACAGAATGCATTGCGAAGCTCGCAAAGTATCTCTACGACCAGAACAGGGGCATTGGGTTCACCGATCTCGCCAAGGCCGTTATTAGCGAGCTGGAGGGCGCCTACGGTTTGCTCATCAAGAGCGTGCACTATCCCCATGAGGTGATTGCCGCTCGCAAGGGTTCTCCCTTGGTTGTCGGTGTCAAGACGCAGAAGCGCATGAAGGTCGACTTCGTCGATGTCGAGTACTCGGACGACAACACCCCCCTCTCCGCCGAAGCCGCCTCCCAGAATGTTGCGCTCAAGAAGTCGTCTGTCGCCGGTGGCCTCCTCTCACCTAACGGCCTGCTTGGAGCCCCCGACAAGTCGCTCCTTCACCGATCGCAGTCCCGCGCCTTCATGACCGATGATGGCCTCCCAATGCCCACCGAGTTCTTCTTGTCGTCGGATCCATCGGCCATTGTTGAGCACACCAAGAAGGTGATGTACCTCGAGGACGATGACATCGCCCACATCCACGAAGGTTCTCTCCACATCCATCGCCTCAAGAAGGCCGATGGAAGCAGCAATGTCCGTACCATCCAGACCCTTGAGCTCGAGCTCCAGGAGATCATGAAGGGCAAGTTCGACCACTTCATGCAAAAGGAAATTTTCGAGCAGCCCGAGTCGGTTGTCAACACCATGCGTGGTCGTCTTGACATCGGCAACCAGACAGTAACACTCGGTGGTCTGAGGAGCTACATCGCCACCATTCGCCGGTCCCGTCGCATTATCTTCATTGCTTGCGGTACTTCCTACCACAGCTGCATGGCTGTCAGGGGTGTTTTTGAGGAGCTTACCGAAATTCCTATTGCCGTCGAGCTTGCCTCCGACTTCCTGGATCGCCAGGCGCCAGTATTCAGAGATGACACCTGCGTCTTTGTGTCCCAGTCTGGTGAAACAGCCGACTCGCTGATGGCTCTCAGATACTGCCTCGACCGCGGTGCCCTGACTGTCGGTATCGTCAATGTTGTTGGTTCCAGCATTTCCCTCCTCACCCACTGCGGTGTGCACGTCAACGCCGGCCCCGAAATCGGTGTTGCGTCCACCAAGGCCTACACCTCGCAATTCATTGCCATGATCATGTTCGCTCTCTCATTGGGCGAGGACCGCGCTTCCAAGCAGAAGAGAAGAGAGGAGATTATGGAGGGTCTCTCTAAGATCAGTGACCAGATCAAGTCCGTCCTCTCTCAAGACCAAAAGATCAAGGCTCTCTGCGAGAGCACCTTCAGAAACCAGAAGAGCTTGCTCCTGCTCGGTCGTGGCAGCCAATACAGCACAGCGCTGGAAGGTGCCCTCAAGATCAAGGAAATCAGCTACTTGCACTGCGAGGCCGTCATGAGCGGTGAGCTCAAGCACGGTGTGCTCGCCCTTGTGGACGAGAACTTGCCCATCATCATGATCCTCACCCGTGATGATCTCTTCAAGAAGAGCTTGAACGCCTACCAACAAGGTTTGCAATCCCGCTTTCATGACCTATTCACGTTTCTCATGCTGACGTCGCATTTCCAGTTACTGCTCGTGGAGGCAAGCCCATTGTTATCTGCAACGAAGGCGACGAGGAGTTCAGCGAGAACCAGGCCGAGAAGATCGAGGTCCCCAAGACGGTTGATGTTCTCCAGGGTATCCTCAATGTCATCCCATTGCAGCTGATTGCCTACTGGCTCGCTGTTCTCGAGGGTCTCAACGTTGACTTCCCTCGTAACCTGGCTAAGTCGGTTACTGTCGAGTAGAGTGTTGGCAGCAGCCGGCGCTGGGGGTGGAGTTGTATGTGTGTAAGAATACGGATGCTACCATCTGTTAATTTCCCAAGCCAACTGGCGTTGGGCGGAAAGGGGGGTACCCAAAAAAAGGATATCAGGTGTGGGTGGTACACCGATGCTTTTCAAAGACTTGTCGTCTGCACTGGTTTTGGCGTGCCAAAGAAAGCGTATTTTTGTGTTATTTTCGCCCCATGTCGATTTTTTGTTAGGGATTTACAAGATAGTGGTATACATATCTAGGAAAGCGAGTCGGAATAAAGAGACATGAACAGCGAATTGGAGAGCAAATCTGAACATTTCTCGTGATGCAAGGTTAGTCGTAATTTGAACCGGTGAGCCATGCTGTCACAAGCTACTTTTTGCTCAGAATCATTCATTCGTTTGCACATGCTTGCTGACAGTACAAGGCGAAGACTTGCCCATCCATTTCTAAGAACCCATGCTCCCATCATTGCTACAGCCCAAGCCCAAGCCTTAGACAGTTTGCGTGCCATACCCCTTGATCCGCTCAGCAAACGCCCAACTCTGCTTCTCGAGCTGCTCATCCTCCTTGAGCTCAATCCCATCCTTGTTCACCACCGCAATGGAATACCGATCCAGCGACCTAGCATCACGGTAGAAAAGCACCTTCATGCACTCCTTGACCACCTCCACCGCCTGCTCCCTCGTAAGCTTGGCAGCGTCCTCCTCTGTGCCAGCGTACTTGCGCATAATGGGCTGAGCCAACGCCGCGCCAAACCCGGTAGCCAACGACGGGGAAGTGAAAGATGTTCCCCTCAAGTCAACAGAAGCGAGGAAGGGCTTCGAGTCCGAGTCGAGCCCGGCAACGAGGATCTGATTCCAGAGGGGGTCGAACGAGTTGCGGCGTTGGTACATGAGCTTTTGGAGGTACTTGAAGAGGTTGGCTGCGTTGAGGTGGCCGGGTTTGGAAGAGGAGGATTCTTCGTCGTCTTCGTCGTCGAGGGTTGGCTCCACCTCGTAGGATTCGTCGGTGGCTAGCTCTTTGAGGTGGCGGTCGAGGAACTGCATGTCGGAAACGTCGCCGCCGAAGCCGATGACGGTTGTGTCGAGGAAGGTGCGGAGGCGCTTGACGTCGGTAAAGCGGGCTAGAGAGCCGTAGGAGGCTGGTTTGGGGAGGGGATGTTAGTTGGGCGGTTGCTGGGGTGGGTTGAGGAGGCGAAACATACCCAGGTTATCGGCCGCCATAACGACGCCGTCCTTGTACTTGATTGCGATGACCGAGGTGCCTGTTACGACGGGTGATTGTGTGACGGTTCTGGGACCGCTGTTGTTGAGGTAGGAGGCATCGTAGGCGCCGTAGACATCATCTCTGGGCTTTGAGAGCGGGAAGGTTAGTTGTTGCCGTGGTGGGCAGTGGTGGATGTGAGGGGACATACACGACCCCAGGCTTGCGGGCGGTGATCCATGGCTGCGGTGGGTTGTGAAGGGTAGTAACACAACAGTGGTCTGGGGAGCGGCTATGAATTCGGGTTTCGATTCGTTTCTCGAGAGCGGTTGGAGTCTGTTTCGTCGTCGGTGATTACGTTGGGTTGGTTGATACGGGGAGCTTGTTCGATGATGTTGGATTGGGGCTGGAGCTCCCTGTAGCTTCGCGTCCAAGTGCTGCCTTCCTGGCGGGTGCTGCTTGGTCAGTGCGGGCCTGCGCTGCCAAGGCAAGGGTGGGTGGCTGACAGCCTGAGGCTGGATGGCTCAGGTTCAACTTCACCTGCCAAGGCTGCACGTGATACCCTTCTTCTCAAACATACAAGAGAACCATCAAGTTGAGCCGCAATTCCATTATTCCCAAACACGAAGGCTCATATTTTCTAAACGAAATTGGCCGCATATTATCTCCAAGAAATGGGTTTGGTAGTATACGAAAGTAGTGACGAGGACGAGGAAGCCCAACCGCTCCCCGAGCCTCAGGTAAGTTTTTACACTCTCGCAACCATGCATACTTCCACTAACACGCGTTTTTGAAGGTCACAAAACCACCAGTCAAACCCATCGCACCAGAAGTTAAAGATGCGTCCCAACAAACACCCTCGTTCCCACCCAAACAACCCTCACCACCACCTCAACCCTTGCCCCAGCCATCAAAACAGTCACCACCCCTCGGCCCCGTCTTAGGCCCCGCCCTCGGCCCTTCCCTCCCACCATCGAACACCCTCCCCGAACCAGAAGACATGGAAATGACCATCCCCCTCGACCCCTCCCCCCCCCCTCGATCCCCCTACTCCACCAACCGCGCCCTAATCCAAGGCCTTACCCTCCCTCCCAATCCCGACACCTCCATCCCTCCCTCCCCGCCCCTTTCCCCAACCCTCCTCCCACAAATCAACTCCCTAACTGCCAAATTCGACAACTTCCTCAAACTCAAACGGGAGAAAAACATTCACTTCAACGAACGTATCGCGCAATCCCACGGCCTGAGAAACCCAGCAGTGATGGAGCAGCTGCTGACGTTTGCCGGGATCGGGACGAGTTTTGACGGGGATGATGACGGAGGGAGAGGAACGGAGCAGTATGCTACCACCCTGAGTAAAGAGCTCTGGGATCCGCTGACGGGGTTTCCCGGGTGGGCGTACAAGGATGCGTTGTGGAAGACTCAGATTAAGACTAGGAAGGAGAGGGAGAGGGGTAGGGGGGAGAGGGTTGAGTTTGTGAGCGCTGGGACAGCAACGGCGGGGGGTGATAGTGGGGTGTTGCCAGATTTGAGGACGGGTTTGTCGGGGGAGGAACGGTTTGGGAGGAAGAGGAAGGGGAGGTATTAATGACGTGATGGGATGAAGGATTGTGATGGGTAGTTGTGTATACTGAAGAGAAGCATCGGTGTGCGAGATTGAGGAATTGATGTACGGGGAATGGAAATCACGATCAGGTGCCAATACGTCCGGCATATGTAAATAGAGCCTGAACTGCTGCTCGGCTACAGAAGTGTCATCGTAATCCTAGCCGTCAGGGCCAGTTATTCTGCATAATTCCATGAAAATTTGTGGAGTGATAAAAGTAAAAGTGTTGCAGCAATATCATTTGGACACCCTCGGTGACCTGTGATGAAACCGGTGGCTATCAACGGTAATGTCTTCTTCCTGGCAACGAGGACCAACATCTTCCTGCCAATGTCCCATTCCCGTCAACATCAGACGGGGTCAATGATGGAAGGGATGGCATTCAGCATGAAGACTTGGTCCGGAGGTAGGCAGGTAGGCAGAGCGAGTTTACAAGGTTGGCTTCGGCTCTACTGCACACCTAGGTAATGATAACGTGAGCAGCCAGGGTGATATAAACTGATGCAAGACCATATTTGTTCTCAGATGGACAACTCTTTGATGGTCACGTAAAAGATAGTAAGCATGCGTATCTTGAAGGCCTAAAAGGTGTCATGTTGTTGGTCAGTCAGTGTCGCCCACCGACTGGCAATGTTACAAGGACTGCCGACTTATATATAGCCAGCCCATCCAAAAGTACTGTACATACCCCCGCCCCAAGACCCCTATCTTCCCATAGCTACAGTCAGACTGAGCCTCCCTTCTCCAAGTTCAATTCATGAACTTCATTTGGTATCTTTGTTTTTCCACATTACTCATCCCATCGCAGCAAAAAAAACCATACAGTGGTATCTCAGCTCCCAGAAACAACATCAACAAAAAAGCAGAAAGGTATTAACACAGAATTCCATCCGTTCGCCTGGTCATTACAAGTTTCGATATATGGCAAGGTGCTCATCAGGACTCATGACGGCCTGCGACTTAATCAGAATGATCACCGCCGTCGAGGCCGCCGCAGGGAATAGTGAGACCCAAAGACCGCTGAATCGTGCCGCCGATATCGATAGGAATGGTCTGGGTGTCTGCAGCCAAAGCCTTGGCGAAGTAGGGAAGGTCTTGGCCCTTGTTGTTGACGGTCTTGCCACGAATTTCGAAGTCGAGCCATCCATTGTCCTTGTCGCAAGCGGGAGACTTTCCGAGGGCCTCAATTACGGGTGCATTCTCAATGGTGGCGCGCATGTCGGCCTTGGTGACCTCGCCGGCTTTGAGGAAGAGGTTGTCAATATAGACGGTACCAATCTCCTTGCCGTCAAGGTAGTTGTGGAAGGTGGCATTGCCCTGGTGAAGGATGAGTAAACGCTCAAGTGATGGTAGAGATGACTCGGTCAAGACTTACAAGTTCGAAAGACACAAGAGAGCGGTTGGGAATCCAGGTTGTTGCGTTGAAGTTATTCACGGGATCGAGGTTGATCGTGGTCTCGTTGACAGAAGTGCCCCGAAGCATCTGGAGGCCGGGCATCTCGATGGTCTTCTTGAAAGTAACGGGATAGCGTCTAGAGATGCCCTTGACGTGAATACCAGTCTCACCAAAGACGGTCACTCTGAGGGTCTCGTTGGCGAGCAGCCATGTGTTGAAGGTGGTCAGGGCATCCACATCCTTGATCTCGAGGGTCTGGGTAACCTTGACCTGCTGAAGCGCCTCGCTGGTGGTCTCGGGGAAGTTGATGCTGGCGAAAGGAATGTGCGAAGGGATATCCTCGAGGTACATGACCCCGAGGAAGGGCTCAATGGTGGCGTGAACCTTGCCATCACTCTTGATGGTGCTGTCGATAGACATGGTCATCTTCTTGGTCTGGGTATCGGTGACAGTGATGCCGTTGATAATGAGCTCGGCGTCATCAAGCTTGGACTGAGCAATCTTGGGAACGGCGACCAGGAGACTGGGTGATGAATCAGTAAGAATTCGCCGCGAATGTTGGCAACGGAGAATGGGCAAACACTTACATGACTGGCACAAGAATGACAGTAAGAACGATGAGGACGATCAAGTACACCCACCAGAATCTGACGCAGTGTCCTACACATCCGCGTCTCCGCGGCTTCTCAACAACATTCTCGCTAGTGGTAGCGATGGGCTTGTCGGCGTCGGCCATGTCGGAAGTCTGTGACGGATCACGATACCGGTTCTCCTCAGCCTGCAGAAAGAAGGATGCAGAATGGGTGGATGGACGGGAGGGTGAAACGGTATGAAGAGGAAAGAAGGGGGGTATAAGAGACGCGGGAGGACAGGGCTGACCACTTATAAGTGTGTCATGAACACAAGAGCTCTGAGTGGTCGCAAAGAGAATTGGGGACGCCGCACAGGGGAATTGCCTGTCGGCGGGCAAGCTTGCAAGTCGGGAGAGCAAGGGTCGGGGCCATCGTCGCTTTCTGTCGCTTGCTCCCCCGTGATGGCAAGGTGCGTTGGTCTGGAGGACAATGGATCCTGGTTGCCACCCGCTGGTAGGTCTCGTCTTGACCACTCCTCTAGCCTGTTCAAGTAGGTCCCCCGAGCTATTGCCCAGTTGACCTGGTTCCCCCGCAGTCTTTGTTGCGCCCTTGTCGCGCCCGTCATTTCATACCCTAACCCTTTTCAGCTCCAAGATGGCCAGCGCCCCTGAAATGTTCCGTGGGACATGGCTAACCGTACCGAGAGCCAAGAGATCAGATCAAAGCCACCTACCTCACCGACGTTTCTTTGATCTGAACACAAAAACACATCAGCTGGTTCGGTTTGTGATGTCAGTGAGGCCTTCTTGTACAAATCCGGACGCTTGCTCCTTCGCGTTGAACAGTCGGTTGGGCCTCCCCATCAATTGTTACCGTCGCCAGGAGAATGGGGTTTTTCTCAATGCCCAGAGATCTTGGCCCGAGACTGACAATGCGGGGAATGTGGAGGAAACGGGGCCAGGCCAGCTTGACATGCTGAGGCGATTGCTTCCGTATCCGTACTTGCTGCCGTCGACAGCGTGAAAGGATTGGAACCTGCGAGCACCAGTGGGGAAAAGCCTCACACGAGGAGGCGTCTCTAACTGCATGAGGTCTAGCAACCCTCTGCATATGCAGGCTGCTCAGACCTGACGAGATTGCAGCAGCTCTTGTGTTGGCAGTTTGCGCAACGTCTATCTAAATCGGCTTGACTCGAAGATATTCATTCTTACATAACTATCGTTGCTCGAGTCTATCAGGCCGGCTACTTACTCGGCACCTCTAACACACCGTTGCAAGGGCGGCCGAAAAACTATTCAAATCCGTCGTGGTTGGCATTATCGTGGCGAGGGTCTTCTTCTGAAAAAACGGTGGCACTGTCGAGATTTGAGGGTCGAGAATCTGAACGACAACGGACGTGACTGCCAAAACGAGGATGATGCCAAGAGATCATTTCGTGGCCTGCCCCCGCATTTTCTGGGGGAGAGGCGTCAAGGGGACCTCTTCCCTGTCTGCAGATCCCTGCTCGACAGGGAAAGGCCCTCGGCATGGATGGAGCACATGAAAATTTTGGGTCTACTCCACCGAAAGCGACAAAGCTCAACACCTGCATTTGGCCGCGAGAGGCGTGAAGCAGTGCTCACTATTGGGTACAGAGGCACTTTTGGAGTCGCACAGCCAAGCTATTTCTCCAATAAATCTCTCCAAGAGTAAACTCTTGGTCAAACGTTCGCCTATTTATCAGATGAGGGGCCGAGTATCATTCTGTCGAAACTTGCATGTGAATCTCTCCTTCAGCTCCCCTCGACTATTTTCTCTTTGCCCTGATCACCATCACCACCGATTCTCAACCAGTTTTTTAGCGACTCCACGGAAGAGTTCAACAATTGCGTATCCGTGGAGCGCTTTTTGCGAGTCGATACCGTCTGTGTTGTTGAGAGTGGACCAGTGGAGAGGTGTCCACGCGATCCACTGGGAGATTTGACACCGAAGCTTGAGTCCTCTTTCCAGGATGGAAGCCTGTGAGTGGTCGGCCCGGTTCCAGTGATGCAACCACAACGAAATTCTTTGATGGCACGCACGAAGCCAACCGCCGATTCGACTCCTGTCCTCTCAGAAAACCCGGTTGCAACGTTGTAGTTTTGGCAATTCGCGTCTCTCAAATACGCAGTATGCCGTTGATTCAAGTGGCGTTTGGGTTTTCCCCTGAACACTTCCCATTCTCCCTCTTATCCATGTGGGTGCAGATAAACCAATCAAGTTGATTCTGTGGTGTCCAGCTTGAATTTTGATACCAAATATTGGCGTCACCTTTTCATCTGCCCTTGCTGATCTGGAAGCTGTTGTGGAAAAGGGGAGGAGGTGGTCATCATGAGACCAGCTCAAATCCTTGCAGATTTGGCACCCGCAGAGCCTCGAACAGCCGTCTTGGCTACATCTGTGCCTCATGCAACAACCCGACGGCACTGCTTGATCGAATTGACATCATGTGAACATCGGACTAACCGACTGACTTTGAATAGCTGCCATGAGAAGGCCATCGCGAGGTTTTGCAGCACCCATTTGAATATCTCGCATTACAAACCAGCGTTGTACACACACTTCCCAAATGAACGTGCTTGTTCGTAACGTTCTTCTTCCAGGTAATTGTCTAGAACCCAAAAACACCCGTCAAACCACATGCCGCCTCGGCTAGGACGAGATCGTCATGCAAAAGGATCTACGACATGCTCAACCCAGCTTGGCACACCTTCCCCCGCAAAATCGCCTACAGCTTGGCAGCACGAGACGTCCACAACCCCGTTCTGTCGAGACCAGCCCCGCCATCGAAGATGTCCCGCTCGACCATCCTGCTGTTGATCTGCGATCACAAGATTATTAGCTCTTCGTCAGGGGCCCCTTGAAATCCGGGCAAACTCACAAAGCGTGGCCCAAGCTCCGATATGTCTTTTGCGCCCATCATCTTCATGCACGTCTGAATTTCGCCTTGGAGAACTGATGATCATGTCAGCACCCTCACGACCAAAGAATCCGCAGCAATGAAGGCAAACTCACTTTCGAAAGTCCTCTCCACCCCCTTCCACCCGCCAGCCCCTAACCCATAGAGTGCAGCCCTGCCTACGCCCACCGCTTTTGCCCCTAGACACAAAGCCTTGACCACATCCGTCCCCCTCCTGATACCCCCATCCACCCAAATCTCAATGATATCAAACACTTCCGGACAGTACTTCTTGCATTCCAACAGCGTATGCACCGCCGGCGGCGCCGTATCCAACGACCTACCCCCGTGATTGCTCAAAATGACCGCCTTGACCGTCCCCGGATGCTTCTTCGCATACTGCGCAGCCAGGTAAACATCCTCGTGCGTCTGGATCCCCTTCAAAACAATAGGCAGTTTGGTATGCTTCGCCAACCACGGCAAAGTCGTATCCCACGTCAAATCAGCCGCCGTGCCAAAGAACAGCTGCTGTCCCACACCACTATTCGAATCCGGCCTCTTCTTTGCCTTTTCCTTTTCCTCCTCTGATTTCGATGCCTCAATCAGTAGCTCCGCCTCCAACGCGGCCTTTTCGTCATGCTCCCTCTTGCTAGGAACAGGTGCGTCAAGAGTAAGAACAATGCACTTGTACTGCGGCAGTTTGGCTATCCTCGCCAGCATGGCCTCGGATTTAGCACGAGCGTTCTGTACGTAGAGCTGCCAGCCAAAGATCTGATCCGGTTTGGCCTCGGCAACGATTTGCTCCGGCGACATGGAGGCGTTGTGGGAGACGAGCTGCATGGCCCCGAAGCGGGAGATGCCTTTTGCTATTCCAGCTTCCCCGTCCGGGTGAGCCAGCCGGGCCATGGCTGCTGGGGAGACGTACAAGGGGGTGGCGAGCTTGAAGGCGCCGCCGAGGATGGAGGTGGTGGTGTCTGCTTTGGTGACGTCGACGAAGACGCGGGGGCGGAGGAGAATGTTGCGATAGACGGTATTGTTGTATGTCTTGGAGATGAGGTCGTCGGCGGCGGAGAAGTAGTAGGCCCAGCATTTCTTGGAGACTTGGGTTTTGGCAACTGCTTCGATTTCGTCTAGATTGAGGAGGTGGTGGAGTGGCGGGGGTGGGCGTGCTGCTTCCTGGGCTGGGTTGGCGGTGTTGGACTGGCGTTGGAGTTTTTTGAGGCTCTCGGGGTCGACGATGCCGAGTTTGGCGGTGGGTGGGAGGTTGTCCTCGAGAGTGCCTGGGGGGTGGATAGGGTCGAACTCGGCGGTGGCGTCCCGGCCGGCGAGCTGAAGAATGATTCTGGAGCCTCCTGGGTGGGAGGGGAGGAACTCTGTTACATCGTAAACAGCGCCATGGAGGACTACCCAGCAGCTTTCTGCGGTGTTGTGCTTGGCAACTGGATCAACGGTCAGCAATGCATTCACCTGTGTGTGGTTGATTTGTTTAGACACGCCTTCTTCTGCACTGAAGACTTTGGCCATTGTGACAACTCGCCTTCTGGGCTTCGTGGAATGATTTCAAAGCAAATAGCAATGTTGACAATTATACGGAGAAGATTTTATTATTTATATCTCAACATCCCTCAATCGCCAACGGGATAATGTCACGCGGGAGCGGGCAAACCCGATATCTGGCTCAATTAATGCGGTGGTGAGTGATTGGAGGACGGGTGCTGTTACTCTAGGGGACCCCACTGTACCCGACAGTTGCTTTTTCTGGGGAAAGTGACGAACCGGACAGCGGTCCGGGGTTGACATCTAGAACTCCGACAACGGCGGACGGACCGACAGTTCGCTGTAATGCTTGGCCGAAGCTGCAGTTGCGGCTTGGCGATATCAAAGTGCAGTATTCTTTTGTTTTATACGCAGTAGATGGGGCTCTTTTCCCTTGCATCAACAACAGGTGCCGTCAAGGTTGAATGATTCATAACGAGGGCTGGGTGACGACACTAAGTGCAAATTGTCCTTCTGCTGTGACTAGAGTGCTCCTGTCACCGAGCTATTGCTCATGGTTAGGGGCTCTTGGGGAAAGTTCAGCAGACGTTATCAGCATGTAGTCCCATCTAAACACTGTTGAAGTTGAATCTCCAACCCCGGGTTGTTTCAGGGAAACATAAAACTGCTCATGTGATGTACCTAGTTGACCATGTGGATACTCGAGTTCATCTCCGGAGTTTCTGGAGGATGATATACAAGTAAATATGTGAACGGTAATAGGCATTGACATGCTACAAGCAGCGAAAGCAAGAGACCGAGAAATAAGGCTCAGAAACATCGAGATCTTTTGAATTGCCATGAAAATGGGACCTTGGGTGCTTGGTGAGCAGATAGGCCCACTTCGCTGGGCAGGGGTTCCGCTGTTAGCGCGAGGCCGACACCTCAGCTAGCTCCCCGCCCCCACCCTTCCCAACGGCAGCAGACCATGGACCACATGAACAGCCATCAACAACCTGGAACTTGCAACCTTGCGCGTATCATCAAACATTGCTCTTTTTACCGTGCATCGAACTGTGATCATAAACTTGCCTCTGGAATATCCTTTCGACAGTTTCAACGAAGCGCTCAACAAGCTGGCTGGATAGCCAACGAAGGAGGCGCATCCCCGCGTCATCATCACCCCGTCAGTCCTCCCTCCGCCGCATTCTGCCCCCGAGATCCGAAGCATCAATCAAGCAATCAGCTTCCACTTCCACCACCTCACAACCCCTCGAACACGTGTCTCTTGATATCGCTACTGCCCCCTTCCGAAAACAAACCTGGGCCATCGCATCTCCAAAGCCCCTGCAAAGATGGCAGCCCGCCAGAAGCTGCGCATCCTCTGCTTTGGGGACAGTCTTACAGCAGGCTATTCCTACCTAGGCTCCGCCTACCACCCGTACCATTTCAAGATGGACCAGATGCTGGCGATGGCCTTTCCCGACTACGAAATAACCACCGTCGAGCGGGGGAAGTGCGGGGATATGGTCAGGAATGGGTTTCTGACGAGGATGCAGGAGTGCTGTTAGTTGCTCTTTCGTTAATGCTTCACAATTGCCAAAATGGATGGACTTGAACACACAGCTAACACCCAAGGTTGAGATATAGTCCCGCCTGCTAAAAAGGACGATAAGCCTCCGTTTGACTGGGTGATTGTTTTGGGAGGCACAAAGTATGTCTACGTCCCTATGATAGACTGGTTGATGAGATCCGCTGACGAAGTATCAAGCGACATCGCGTTTAGAGTACCACCGCAGGAAATCTTCAAGAAGTTGACTGAGGTCTGGGATATACCGCTTCGACGTGGATGTAAAGTCCTGGCCCTAACAGTCCCCGATGTGGTGGGCGACAGCAAATTCAAGATGAGGGGCGACGCGGATAGGAAAGTGCTCAACGAGCTGATCATGGGTTACAAGAAGCCTAACTTGTGGGTTCAATCGTCTACCACTTTTTGTTGTCTTGCCTAGCTGACTTAGCGCAGGCACGTATACGATCTCCACGATGCTATCAGCTTGACGAAGATGTCCTCGACAGACAGGAAGACTTACAGGGACGACCAAATCCATTTCACCCCAGAGGGCTATGACCTGATCGGTAACAAAGTGGGCATGGCCTTGGTGAGCTTACTGGTTAAGCAGAGGGTGGCGGATCTTCCTCCCGCAAAGAGACGGCGGATATTCAAGAACGATGACAAGCTCTTTGAGGAGGAGACCGGCAACCCAGAGAGCCTCGACGGGGGCTATGTCGTGGTTCGGCGAACCGATCTGGACTAGGCGCCTGCTTTTTTTTTGTTCTTTTTTTCTTTTTTTTTGGGATTTCTATTTCTGGTTATACATGGTAGTGGCGGACAGCGTTTGGCTTTCTAGTCTCAAGAGAACAGGTTTGGCATCGGCGTATTTCGAGTTACGGCAACGGTTGGATAGGTATCTGGGGGGTAAGTAAATATGTGTTTTATATTCGAATCCTTCATTATTCAACTATGATCTAGACATTTTGCCCACAGACAGGGCATGTCAGTACACAATTCAACCGGCTACATGTCCCAAACAGCGGGACGATGCCGCTCGCTTGTTATAAACAGATGCGCTTCTTCTGACATTGTATCCCCCCTTTCATACGGCGATCTGAGTGGCCACAAAATCTGGAAACTCTGCCTGCAGGAGGTCTGTCACACGCTCGACATCTTCGGCCAAGGCCTGCACGTTGCTGTCCCACCGCCGGATCTCCTTTCCGACCTGTGCTGTTGTGTGCCCGCTACCATGCTCACCAGACGCCTCACCCATTTCAAAGTAGATGATCCGATCAATCTGATCGATAGACCCAGTCAACCGCCCTTGCTCAATCATCTTTGCCGTTGTCTCCTCAGCCTTGTCCCCATCCAACCCCAGCAACAGCCCCAACTCGTCAAACCCAATATTCGTGTACAACCGCCCAGCACTCAACAAGTTGTGCTCCACCACAGCCCTGGCCAACACCGTCGACCCGTCCGACGTCTTGGCCAGCTGATGCGGCGCCAACGACTGCGCAAACTTTTCCACCTCGTCACTCGACAGCAGCCTATCAAAGAACATCTTTTCCAGAATCCCATACTCCTCCAGCCCCGCTGACCTCTCATCCTTGTGAAGCCTGCCCAACGCCCTGCTCCTCAACGGACCAGCCGGCGCCAAGACCGCGCACTTGATCGCCATGCTGAGCGTGTGCAGCCTCTCCTCCTCAGCAATCGAAGGCGAGAAGCTGATGTCGTGGTAACTCGATGCCGCCTGCAAGAACTGCCTGTTGGAATCCTGAATCCGAGCGGCGCTCAGCTTGAAGTGGAGCATCATCTCCGGATCCGTGTCTCCAACCTTGTGCATCACGTTCTTGAGCTTGTTGAGGTATGTCTCAGCGGTAGTGCTATCATCTTCCTCCAGGTGGTTCCTGACAATTCTGATCCATATTTTGGCCTTCTCGCGGTCTGACACGCGGCGCTGGGAGGAGTCGAGGGGGATCTCGGCGAGGATCTTGGCGGCGGCGAGGAAGTCCTCGTTGGTTTCGTGGGCGGTGGCGATGAGCTCGCGGAGGGCCGAGGCTTGGTCGACAAGAGAGGAGGAGAGGGACGGGGTGGAGGAGATGGCGCGGACGATGTGGGTGCCGACGTCGATCCAGGACTCGTGGTTCTGGGAGTTTTTGAGGACGTTGATGAGGTCGCTAAGGACGGCTTTGGTGGTGACGACGCCGTGGGAGGCGGCGAATAGGTCGTCAGTGATGGCTTTGAGGTCGGTGCTGCGGGCTTCTGGGGGGGAGAAGTCGTCGAGGCTGTTGAGGAGGGTTTTGTAACCGATGACGGGGTTCTCTTGGGCCTTTGCGAGGGCCTCTTGGACCTTGGGCGAAACCATGTTCGGAGGTCGAATTGGGTAGCTAGAATGACGAAGTTACTTGGGTTTGGGGCTTATGACGAGGTCGAAATGTTGGGTATGATAAACTGGCTGTGATGAATCGGACCTGAAATTGGTTGGTGACAGCAAGGCTGAGAGCGTTGTATGGATGGAAGTTGAAGCTCAGCCAGCCCGACAGTGGGGGGACTGGAAGCTGTGTGCTGGAGTGTGCAGCCTCGGGCGGCTTGAGTGGGGTGGGCGGGGTTGTGGGGAAACGCCAAGCCCAGAGCTGTCAAACTCCGGGAGTGGGGTTTGTCATGCGCATTTGGGTCCACCAATGGAAAAGGAAGGTGGCTTCCGTTTTCCAGTTTAAATACAACACAGCACGTCACGCAAAGGGGAATCTTGTCTGAGAAGAAAATTCCCTTGGTATTTTATATTCATTTTATCTATCATTATCGTTTGAGACTTTCCACCCGCCGCTGCTTTGGTGAGCAAGCTTGATGAGAAACAAAGACTCACTACTCATCCTCCTATTCTATGTATTATTAGGTATTCATCTTCATCAGATCCAACATTAGGGCTTCCGCCCACCCATCAACCCCCGTAACAATTAGTGGGCAGAAGAGCTCTCGGCGGCATACTTCCAATACCGCTCGGCAGAAGCTCTACGGAGATCCTTGCCCTTCCATGTCATGAACAAAAAGGTGAGAGTGCAGCCCAAGGCAAGGAAGCCAGCCATGATGAAGCAGTTTTGGAGACCCATGTTGGTATACCAGGGCGTGATTCCATAGGCAATGGCGAAACCCATCAGGTTGCGGACCAGGATAACAGCGGTGGTGGTGTCGCCCGAGATATCCTTGTAGCAGTCAATGTTGTACGAGAGAGCAACCGAGCCACCAGCTACGACACTGGCAGTCAGAATACCGAGACCGACGGCCAAAACTGCCCAGTGAGCGTGATGCTGGGCACCAACACCCCACATGATAAGGCCGATGGCTCCCAAGACAGCCGTCACAAGAAGGGGCCAGAGACGGTGCTCGGGCTCACGGACGCCGTTGTTCCGGCGGGCAAGCCACAAGGTGAACTTATCGGCAATGGAACCAGCCCAGTAGCAGCCAATGGCCGCGCCGACGATGGGACCGGTGTAGATGGTGCCGACAAGACCGGAAGACCAGTTGTAGGGAGCGTTGGCGAGAACAGGGCTGGCAGTTCCGTTCAGGACTTGGTACCAGCAGAGGTTGATGCCGTAGATGAAACCGGCCCAGAGGACGATGGGGAATTGGTAAAGGTAAATGAAAGGCATATACATGGTCTTGAGCATGTGTTGGTAGGTTGGTCGGCCGTCCATCTTGCGGAACCACGCGAGTTTCTGGGAGAGGGTGGGCTTGACGTAGATGGCAGCAGGAGATTCGCTGACGGTCTGGCTCGAGCTGCTGCTCTTCTCTCCCTTCTCTCCGGCATCGGTGGTGGTAGCAGCAGCAGCAATCTCATCCTGCTCATCCTCCAGACCCTCCAAACCCTGGCGGAAATACATGGTCTCCTCCATGAAGAAAAACAGGATGATGAAGGCCACGGCAGCGAAGATGGCACCAAAGTACATGGTCCACTTCCATCCATACGCCTCGTTGAACCAGCCGCCAATCAAGGGAGCCAGGAAGTTGGAGCCGAAGAGCGAAAAGACGTACACGCCCATCATGGCACCGCGCTCATGGGCAAAAAAGACGTCGGGAATGCTGACCTCGGGTAAGGCCTCGATAGGTGCACAGAAGAACCCAAGCATGATACGATGAGCGAACCATTCGCCGCCCGACTTGGAATAGGCTGTCCAAACCATCAAAGGCACGGTAGCAAGGGTCGAAACGAGATAAACACCGCGGCGGCCATATGTCAAGGCAATGGGCTGCCAGAACAAGCAGCCGAAACCAAGCAGCAAGAAAGCGTAACCGGTACCTTCGACAAGTGTTGCAGTGGAGATGCCGGTATCCGCGGTGATGTCGGCGAGAATCGAGTATTGGAGGGTCATAGGAAGTCCAGTGCCGAAGGTGTAGACCACAACCATGGCGAGAGCCAACATCTTGCGGCCTCTGCTCCAGTTGAGAGGGTCCTCGGGATCATCGCTAGGACGGGGAACAAGTTGGATTCCGTCCCGCATCTTTGCGCCGGCAGGCGCCGCGCCGGAAACATCGACGAGGTGGACGGTGCCGGGCACCACGGCCGTATGCTGAGTAGCCATCCTGAGGTGTGTGTCGAGGTGGATGAGCGGGCGTTGACTGGAGAATCACAATCTTCATTGGGGACAAGACGTAATGTATTTATAAACTGCATTTATGTTACCTTTTTTGGAAGAGACATGGGAACCACTCGCCGTTATCTCAGCACTTGTCAGACACTGACAGCTACACAGACCTCCAGGACTACCGCTAGCATCCTGCTGTCAACCATGCTGACCACTTAGACACGTCTTGGAAGCCTAGTTATTCTCCGCTGTTATCGGATAACGAGGCACGCTAGGAACAAAATAACTGGCACTGCAAAAGTAAGTCAACGGAGGACACGTATCTTCAATACACATCAAAAGATAATTAATGAGGCTCGGAGATGGATAATAGGCGTTCTTACTATCCTTTGACGTCTATTACCTTTCTTTCAAAGCCTATTTTTTTGGTGAAGATGTGTAAGTTGACAATCATTCTACGTTTTAGTGGCTTACAATCCAGGGCATGTGAGGATTCCCCAGAGCTCCACTTAAATTCCGAGACATCTCCCTCTTATCAGATATGTCGGCTTCTCTAGCAGGATCATGGAACTAAACCACCGGTAGCTCTTGGCAGTGAACTACACACCACGATCCCGACTGGAAGGGAACCAACCAGCATCAGCCGTGCTTGCATATCTCGGGAGGGGATCATCATCGTCCCCTCGACTGGCTTTCGGGCAGCTGGTATCAGGACAGCTCTCCACCGTGCCTATCTGGTTGATACCCCCTCACGATAAGCCAACTGAACGAGATATCCAAGTTTCATCAACAACGCGTGTTGAGTCAGGTATCACGATGGTATCACGGGGTTCGGTATCCAGAGGACAGATTTCCCAATAGTAATACAGCAGTTCCAAGGTCGATAAATGTCGAAGGCCCGTTCGCGCCTGGCTTCCAATCACCAGTTCAACTCATCTCATCATCTTTCAACCCTGTCTACTCAACGATCTACCCCTTGTCATTTTTCAACATGTCTTCCAGACCGCTTCCTGTTGTTCAGCGGGTACCCTTGCCTCAAGGAACCCCTGAGTACGAGGCTCTGCGCCAAAAGTATCTTTCCGAGCTCGAGGCCAGCATTCCTGACGAGTACTACCTACCCCAGTCACTGATTGACAACCCTCCACGGGACGTCACCCCCGTACCAAGGGAGTGCGGTATCCTGACTGCCGAGGAAATCGACATTACCGAAAACTACGATGCCACTGCCTTGGCCGCTGCCATCGCTTCCAAGAAGTTCAGCGCCGTGGCTGTCGCCACCGCCTTCACCAAGCGTGCTGCCATCGCCCACCAGCTCACCGGCTGCTTGGTAGAGTACTTCCAAGGCGAGGCCCTCGAGAGGGCGAAGGCCCTTGACGAGCATCTGGAGAAGACCGGCAAGACCGTTGGTCCTTTTCATGGTGTTCCTATCAGTCTGAAGGAGCACATGCCCATTAAGGGTCACTACACAGCCGTTGGTTTCCTCGACACGCGCCACATTGATGACTATGACTGCCAAATGGTGGCCATCCTTCGCGCTGCAGGTGCCGTCTTCTACTGCAAGACCAACCAGCCCCAGGGCATCATGCACCTTGAGACCGTCTCTCCTCTTGGTCGCACCCTCAACCCTCACAACATTGATCTGTCGGCTGGTGGATCTACCGGTGGTGAGGCGGCCCTGTTGGCCATTCGCGGTTCCATTCTTGGTATCGGTACCGACATTGGCGGTTCGATTCGCGGGCCGGCTGGATTCTGCGGTATCTATGGCTACAAGTCGACATCGTACTATCTCCCTACCAAGGACTTCCTTGTTGGTGGTTTCGCTGCCGAGCTGACGGTGCTCTGCTCTACCGGCCCCATGGGCCACTCTTTGAGGGATATGGATCTCTTCTGCTCCGTCGTCAAAGCCTCGAACCCGCACGTTGAGGACCCAGCACTCATCCCTATCCCGTGGACCGGCACTGCCACCGCTCCCAAGACCACTCCTCTCAAGGTCGGCATCATGTGGAATGACGGTGCCATCATCCCTCAGCCTCCTGTCAAGCGGGCTCTTGCCTGGGCCAAGGAGCAGCTAGAGACCAAGTTCCCTGGCAAGTTCGAGGTCAAGTCCTTCGTCCCTTACCAAGCGGCCGAGGCCATGGTCAACATCCGCAAGGCTTATTGGCCCGACGGTGGCAACGCCGTCAGAGCTCACCTTGCTGCCACGGGCGAGCCAATGTTCCATCTGACGGAGTGGATCCTGAAGGATGCCGTGAGCGAGGAAGAGCTCCCCGTCTCCAAGGTGCTCGAGTACCGTGTTGCCCGTGATGTCTACCGCCAGAAGTTCGTCGCGGACTGGAACGCGCAGGATGTCGATGTGGTCATCTCTCCCGTTTTTGTTGGCCCGGCTTGTGAGCACGAGACTGCTTTCTACTGGAACTACACCGCCCTGTGGAACTACCTCGACTACCCCGGTGTTGTCTTCCCCACCCCCATCAAGGCGCTCAAGAAGGGTGCCGAGGACTACGCTCCCGAGGACGCCACTCCTCTGAGCGAGCAAGACAAGCACACCCGGGAACTGTGGGCCAAGGGTGACTTTGAGAACGCCCCTATCAACTTGCAGATTACCACCAGAAAATATCATGACAACGAGCTCTTTGGCGCGCTGGCTGCCCTCCAGGAGGCTCTTGCCCTCCCCTGAAGGGCGTGTTGATTGGAGGATGATAATTATGATGACGAGACAAAACACAATATTTAATTTTTTTGTATGTAATTAGATACCTGAGCATGAATGAAGCAACTCGCGTTGTACCCAAGCTTTTGGCTCCCTCCCATGCGGTCCAAGATAAAATCCTCCGATTGGACCGTCTCATCCCTGCCTAATCTGATGAAGATACCGGTGGTTTGGGTCACTTGAATACCGAGGATCACCGAGAGACGGCTCTGATGCTAGTATGCAATGAATGATAGGACGAACGGAAGAGTGGTAGCGCGGGTGGTAGTAAGGGGGAATCATGCGTCCTTATCTATGCATATCTGGGTTGCATTACGGCACATGTATTCAGATTGGTGTACACGAATTATCAACGATTACTCTCAGCTATGGGTTGGTCGAGTGATGCACTTTGATATCGAGAGCCGGTTTGGGGGTTTCTGATCAGCCACGTCCTCAGCAGACCTCTATCAGCGCGTGTAAGTGATGCAGCTGTCAGATGTGCCTACCTACTGGTAGGCACTGGCGGCCTACGTCAAGATCGTACGATTTTTCCGACTCTGACCGCACAAATAAATTCGAAGTGACCGCACCCCCGTGAACTTGAACTCTTTCGTCAACATGGCAGTCCTGCGGCACGTCTTCCCAATATTTTGCGAATAATCCTACATATACGCATACGCTGCTCTTTGGCAAACACACACAAGCCTCATGTCCTTCCTATCAGGTTTCCCCTTTTCTTTCACCTTCACCAGACTCGCAAGTGCCATTGATCGCACCGCAGAGCCTCCCTTACTGTTCCCATCTCTACCCGCCCTCAATGCTGCAAGACCACCCCCTTCCCCCTCTCCCAATTATCCATCCCCTCCCTAATATTCATCCAGTACCTCAACCTCACCGCCTCCTCCTTCGCCCGTTCCACATCCTCCACCTTGAAAGCCTCCTCCAACCCCCTCTCCGCCTCCTCAATCCTCTTCTCATTCTCCTCCCTCAGCTCCTCCAGATCCTGCTCCGTGTCCGCCTCCTCAATGATCTCCCTACTCTCCAAAACAGTCATCAACAGCTCCGGGTCAGGCTCCGCATGCGTCCCCGCCTCATCACCCGCCAAGTCGACATCGTACAGCTCATGCAAGAGATACTGCGCGCGCAAGAGAGGGTTGGATAGCGTTTTGTAGGCCGTGTTGATAATGGCAGAGTTGGTCGTCGCGGCGGATTTGGCACTGGCGGACGCGGAGGAGTGGGCAAAGTCTGGGTGGGAGAGGGCTTGGAGCTTGAGGAACTCGTTGCGGAGGGTGCGGAGGGGGATGTGGAAGGGTCCCGAGGGAGGTGGGCCGAGGGGGAGGGTCTGGGGGAAGAGGGCGTAGAATGGGGGGGTTTTCCTCTTCTTGCTCCCGTCTTTTGAGGCTGGTGTTGGTTCTGATGGTGAAGAAGAAGAAGAAGAAGAAGAGGAGGAGGAGGAGGAGGAGGAGGAGGACCACCGCTGTTGTCGGGGCTGGAGGAGTGATATCCTGGGTGTACTCCCTGACATTGATGTTTGGGATCTTTCTCTGGGGGTTACAGACAGGCTGGAAAAGGCTGCTCTCGATCTCAGCGAGTTCTTCGCCTCTCTTTGACACGAGGCGCACATTTGTGATGCCGCGCGCCGCGAGGACGACACAAGCGAGGACCGCATTCTGACGTTTATGCTTTTTTTCTGAGGATTTAAATCGGTAAGTCCAGGGTGCAGGCTCGCAAAGATGAATAGCCTAGTGTTTAAAAGCGCGTAATTGTTGATAGTTATGCTCAAGATGTTAGTGAAATGATGGAAAAAACCCGAGATCCGCTGCGGCTCCCAGCCAAAGAAAAATGACGTCGGCGCCACCACCGATCCCCGCCGGTTCGATAAGCTACCCCTGTCGCTCAAAGCCGGCAGATCCCGACAGAAGGGTAACAACCCTAACCCAGCAACGTTAATGACACCCCAACCATCCTTCACGATCGCCCGATAGGGAATTGCTCTAAGCCGATGTTGAGTTGCCGGAGATATTCTTATTTTGACTACATCGTACAGTCTTTATGTATGTGCTTGTATGTCATCGCTTCATGATTAAAACCTGGCTACCTACTTTTTACCCCAGATAATCTGCCAAAGCATTTCCAACATGATCATCAACTCGTCCAAAAATATGCTCAATATACAACATGGTTCTCTCTCCTCAAGAAGGGACCGCCTGCCTCCACCTCCCCCGCTCCTGATGCCACCACCGTTCCTTGTCCTTCTTATCAACCACCATGCCCGAATACGTATTCCACCGTCCCGTACATCCCTCTCTAGTCCTCTTCTCCCCCTCCTCCCGTTCCCCAACCCCAGCACCCTTCTTCTTCTTGCTTCTCCCATCCCCCTCCCCTCCCCCCAAAACCAACGCTTCCCCCCCATCATCCCTAATCATATCCTCCACCGTCACCAACCCCCCTCCCTCGTCCGTCTGTCCCAACCCCTCATTCGGAGTCAGCACATACCTAACCTTGCTCCCCACCGTCCCGACAAACGCCCCAACTCCATACTTCTCCCTCATGGTGCCCCCCTCATCAAAAACCTGAATAAAAAACCTCGGATACTTCTTCGCCTGGTCGATCCTCGCCTGCGCCGCCATCCTCGCCTGGTGCAAATCGCTATTATCCCGCGCCATCATATCCAGCGCATCCGGCGGCGGGAAGAGCGGGCTGACCGGCGGTGGGGTGTTTCCACTTCTGCTGCCCGACCGGCTCCCGCTTCGAGACCGGTTGCTGCTCCCCCAGAACCCCAGCGCGCTGCCGGACCGCTGCGACGAGGCAGTGGACGAGTTGCGGTGGTGGCCCGAGCCAAAACCCTGCCAGGCTTGGGATGAGCTGGGACGGCGAGAGGAAGTGCTGTTGGCGTGTGCGTGCCCGTAACTGTGGGCTCGTCCGCGGAAGCGGTCACCTGGCAAATCGACCTTTTCTCTCGGCTGGCAGACAGCCTGGAAGATCCCTTCCGGGTCGTTCGGCGCGCAGAGGTAGCGGAGGGCGGGGAAGCCACCTGCGCTGATGGACTTTGCGAGGATGGTATCCGAGGGTGTGGACTGTGTTGGTAGGTATGGAATGTCCCAGTGCAGTCGTTTGAGGGTTCGGCAGGCGAGATACGGAAAGAGCATGATGAACTCGTCTGGTGGTATCGCAGGGGCGATTGTCTGAACAATGTTGAAGGTTTCGAGGCAGTAAAGATACGAGAATAGTCGGGCGATGGCGGGGAGAGATTCGATGTTCATGTGAATAAGGGTGAGCGTGTGGAGGGAATTGCTGTTGCGTCGAGTTGCAAGGGCAGAGAGGCCGTCGGTGGTTACGCCTGTGCAATGAGCCAACGATAGTGTCTTCAGTGGAGGGAGGGCCAGAAGAGAACTGTCATTGAACGCTGAGTGTGGCAGGTGAGAGAGATACAGATTCTGGAGGGCTGGAAGACATCTAACGGTGCGGTCTAGGAGGTTGGGTGGGCTGAGCGTGGCACCGAGATGGCAGTGAACTGCCAGTGTGGTGAGGTGTTTCCAATTCACGTTGAAATCCAAGAATCCCTGGGCTTCCTGCCGTGTGAGATCTACCGGGCCCCAGTGGCTATATGGACCGCCCGGTCGTGACCGCTGCTGTTGTTGTGACGGTGACGGTTCCAAAATCCAGCTCATCTCCTTCAGCTTGGGTCGCGTGGAGAGTGCCTGGAATATCCTCTGGAAAGAGTGGTTGTACGTCGGGTGATATCCAATAAGCCGCTCCAGGCTGGGACATGCCATGATCACCGACGCAATCAAATCATTGTACTCTGTCAACCCAACCCCCTGAGGCAATGCAGGTGGCTTCAGCGACCGAACAATCACCGCAATCTGAGCGTTTGACCTCAGAGTCCGCCTCAGCAAGATCAATCTCGACCCGTACGTCGTCTTTGTCCGCTTCTTGATGGCCGGGCCCTCATGTCCCACAATGTGAATGTGCCCATACAAGGCCTCCCGAGCATACTTGAGACACTTGCGAGCGCTGAGGGCAACCGAGCAGCAATCGCGCATCCAGCAAGTAGCACAACTATTCCGGCCCTGGCCAAGATGCAGCTTGCGCAACTCTTCCAGCATCAGCTCCAACACTTCGCCCGGCAATGCCGCAAATAGCTCTCCCTGTGCCTTTTTTCGATACTGCTTGATTGGTGCTGGTTTTTGCCACGGGTAGGACTGTGCGCATGGCCCCACAGCGTTTCCAGCTCCCATGATGAGCGGCGTGTTTGACGGTGTCTGCCATCTTGGCTGAGCTGCTGGTGACTGTGGACCTCCGATCGGATAAGAATCGACGCTCGTATGACTGCTGCTCATCGACATGGTACGTATCCGTCCATCAAAACTCTCACCGTCAAAAACAGCACTGCTGGCTACCGTGCTGCTGGCCTCGCTGTTGTCGGACAGGCGTCTTGGTCGATCATACCACCCCGATCGTTCCGCCGTACCATTCAAAGCTGAGCTGGTGTTGCCACCAAGCTGGACTGTCGGTTTGTGGGTCGTGGGTACGCCATCCGTGGGCGAGCCGCTAATACAGGCCCCGCCCTCGGGCTTCCCGTATCCATTGGTAATTTCTTGTATCCTTGCACTTGCTCTCTGCGTCCTCAGAACGAACTCCTGGTCGTTTGGCGGATACATCGCCAAGGGAATCCCTCCTGCCCACGGTCGACTTGGCGATATCGGGGCGGCTGTCGTCATCGGACGAATATCAGACTGCTTGGGCTGAGAAACAGGTGGTAAAGGCGTGTTTACCACTGTTGGCTTGACGCGCGGAGCAGGTGGTTTCAGTCGAATATCATCATCCTCTGGCTTGTCCTCCTTGTCTCTTCTGTCCCTCTTATCCGACTTATCCGCCTGCGTGAGAATGTCCGGGGAGCTGTGAAAAGACCGGTGGGAGGGCCGCTGGGAGGAGACGGGCGTAATCGAAACGATTCGCTGATTGTAGGGTCTGTTGTAAAA